GAGCTCCGCTTTTCTGTGATGCAGAAGCGCAGTTTGTCATGCAGAATAGGCAACACCTAGTAGCTCAGAAACTTGTCATGCTGAGCCAGCATTTGTAGCCTCATCATGAGACGCCACCCAGCATCACAAGTTTCCAGACCCAGACATTTTTACATTTGATACTGTGCTCGCGCCACACCACGAGATCCCGCTTCGATTGCTTCTCGGCTTGCTGTGAACAAAATTTGTTTTTACAAACATCAAAAACCGCGCAAAATATATTTCCAGACAAATGATCGGCCATATCAACGCTGCTCATGTCCATGTCCTCCAGATGGTTTTTTACAATTTTCCATGCGTGCCAAACATCAGAACACGTTTACCTACGTTGTACAAATTAATACCTTGCGCTGGTAAGCCCGCGCGTGTTCTCCCTTGAACTCTCCGCCCGGCGGCCGCCGAAATGGCGCGGGTCGCTTGAGTTCCATGTGCGGTTCCATCGGCACGTGGTCGCCCAGCAGCCCGCGGACGTAGTAGCCCTTGTGGTACTTGTTATGCATTGCAACCATGTCTGCGTCTGGAAAGTTGTCATGCGATTCTCCGAATGGCACGCAGATTGTGTTGCGCGGCGGCACATGACAAGTTTCTGAGCGGCCTTGTCTAGCGTTGCCAGCAGGACAGATCGCCTTTATAATCTTACATGAGAAAAGTAAGTGGCACTGTAGCGCAACAAGCATGAGAGACTTTTGTTTACTGTCGGGCAAGCATGACAGACTTGCACTCTACTGCCCGACTTAAACATTGTATTTGCAATGGATACTTGTTGTCCCTTGGCAACTCTTTCATGGTGCAATCCCTTTGGTCCAGCTCCACGCCGACGGGAACGTTGAGCAGTTTCTGGCACTGCTTCGCCCCCAGCCGCAGCAGCATCTTCTCCGTCCCCGGGGCAAGGCCGTGGCGGTGATATGGAGTGCAAATCTGTCTGGTTCTGGAAGACTCTGAGACTTGTCATGTACGTTTTGCATGAGCCGCGACGTCCGTGACGCACGCCCTGGCATCACAGATTTCTTGAGGGTTTCTTGATGATGATGCCTATTCCGAATGACAAATGCCCTCTCCTCGTGGCAAAAATTGCATTTCCTTTGCTGCTCAGGCAATACAGATTTTTTTTGAAATCCAAATGCAGCATCACAAGTTGCATTCTTCCAGACCCAGACATATTTGCATTTGATAGGTGACAGTACTTCGCCAAGTCATCTTTAAACTCCTCCAGCGTCAGTTCGTTTTCCGACTCCGATTATTACAATGAAAAACCCCCCCACCCCAACCTTGGCACCATTTGTATTGCAAATCTTTCCAATAAAAACATTCCCCGTCTTGCATATCTCAGCATCACAAATTTTCCATGCTGAATAGCTCGAATTTGTGTTGCGAAGGAGCCCAACAGCGGCCGTATCTGCTATGCACAAGGCACCTTGCGAACCTAGATTCTGCATCAGAAAGGCTCGCAGTCCTTTCATGCAAGACAAAAAGCTTTCATTTGGAAACTTTGCATGACAAACTTCTGCGAATTCCGGGATGGGGGCACTTTTCATTGTAATACCGACGTGTCCACCTCCCTGCCGTCGAGGTCCTGGGTCGCCTCGAGGTGGTCCTGCAGCCGGAGGAGGGACTCTTCGTCGAACTCCTGGTAGGGACAATCCTCACTGCTGTCGGAATTGCAGTTGTCAACATCATCTTCACTCGAGCTCACGTCGCTGACCACCCGTCTTTTGGTTCTTCTCGAAATAAATTTGTTCGGGTTGTTCAAGTAGGACGCCTTGATCATCTTCGCCTTCGAGTCGGTGGTTCGTTTGTAGCCTCGGATTATAGGCTTCTCGTCGTTCATCTCCTCGGAAGACGAGGACTCCGCGGAGGACGAGCTGCTGCTCGAACTTAAAGAACTCCGCCTGCTCGTCAGTTGACTAGAAGATCGTGGCTCCACCTCGCCGCGGGGATGTTGTTGATCAATTTGATTTTCCGCGCCGTCTTTATCAGACCGTCGACAGGAATTTGATCCGTTTGATTTTGACGGCGCCGGTTTGGGCGATTGACATGATAATCTTCCGGCATGAGTGGTGTCAGGATTATTTTTAGCACTGCTGCTACGGCGCCCTCCACTACAGGAGTCCTCTTCGCTGGGAGGTTCTTTCCGCCGGCGCGTCTTGCCATCCACTACCGCCGTCAACTCTGAAGAAGGTGCCGCATTCGACCTGCTTCTCCGGGGAGCCGGCCGGGAAACTACTCGCTTGTTGTTTTCCTTCTTGAACGCGAAAGCAATTCTGTTGCTCCCGGCCAAGGCGGTTTTCTTCTTGTTCTCGTCCGACGACATTATACATGCACTCCTTACTTTCCGATAAAAAATTCTGTGTCAATGCTTGTACTTCTCAGGGCCATAGCCAGAAAGTAAAGGCACCACGACTAATTACGTCTACAATCCTCTTTTCGCTATCAGGAAAAAAAGCACACACTCGAACGTGGGCACATATCATTTACGACGAACGTCACCGAGGAAGAATATTGGCACCTCCCACGTCACCACGATAGTTGCATCATCAGGGTCAAGCGCCACGGCAGCTACATGTGGACATACGTCAAGCTTTTGTTTTGAAGAAGAGATCATTTGCAGAATCGCCTTACCGCGGTGCAGGATCGATGAATATCGCCACTGACTTCGTCCGCGAAAAAAAAGCAACACCAAATGAGCATGAATTCGTGCTGCTCACATTTAAAGTGCAAGCGACCACGTCCGCGCTCTTGTCACAGATGGAGGAGAAAGTCCTCGACCATGATGCCGAAAGCGACACGCGGTTCAATACGAAATGTTGATGTCGCAAAAATGCAATGTCGTGCCAATGTCCTTTCAGTGTAAAACTACACTTTCAGCGGGGCAGCAGGTGGAAAATACTGATTTATCGCTATCTGCACAAAAGAGCTCCACCTCAGTGAGGAGCTCATACTGGCCGAAATTTTGGGTGCTTAGGCAAACGACTCGAGGTGTACAGGAAAAGTGTGCGTCTTTCATTTCGCAAGAAAGAGTATTGACATTGAGCAAGTACTTGAAGTGCTAGTGCAGCATATCCAAAACAACAGCGTAAATTACAGTCACAAAGCCCCGAAAATTCAGTATTGTATAGGTTCATTTGCAGAAAAAAGAGAAACAAAAGAGTCAGTCAACATCTCCGACCAGCTCACCCAACGTGCTTTGTTCGCCAGAACGGCCGTATAAAAGATCTACTTCCCGTGCCATTGCATACAATCATATAATACGCACACAGACAGAGCGTACTACGTACCTGTCCAACTTGTGCCATGAAGTCGCTCATCCGTTTTAAACTTTTGCGGTCGCGCCCGACAATTTTCGGTCCGTAGTTTTGCCCCGCACGGCAGCCGCCCGCGAGTGCCACACCAGTCGCCGCAGCGCCGTTTTTACTTCTTTGCGGAAGTTGATTTTGACGCAGAGGTAGTAAACAAAAACGACGAAGCCGGAGACCACGCCCAGGGAGAACCCGAACCAGAGGCCGTACAACCCCAACACGCTGGTTTTCTCCATGGTGTTGGCGTGGGCGAAGAAGTCGCCGTCGGTCAAAACGGACGTATCCAGGAAAAGCAGATTGCAGTGCGACACCAATGCCTCGGTGATGCCGTGGCCGACGGTGGAAAAAGCCAGAAACACCGCGACCGGCAGTCCCAGCAAATAGTGTTGGCAGACGTACACCAATGCGGCGATCTGCTGCTGCCCGCACGCCCGCAACACCCCCTGCAAAATGTTCTCCCCCATGTCGCACCAGAAGGTCACAGCGAAGGCGAAAATCAGGATGCGGCGGAACGTATCAAGTGCAAACTTATGTCTGGGTCTGGAATGAACCTGTGATGCTGAATTGAGCATGATTGAAGCGCTTGCAATGGCAGCCAAGCATGACAAGTTTTTGAGACCACGCCTGCTGATGCCTAGCACGCATCACAAATTGCGTTTTTGCATGACAAAGAAAGCTTCTCTGTTGCTGCTCATGCAACACAGATTTTCCAGGAATGCAAGACACGCATTACAAGTTCCACTTTTCCAGACCCGGACACTTCTGCATTTGATAGAACAGCCACCGCTCAAACAGCGCCTTGGCGTTATGCTCGGCTATCAAAAGGAAAAATCCCCCCACCCCATACTCAAACTAGAAATTTGTGATGCAGATTTGTGGTCACAAATCAGCTTTGTCATGCTAGAAGGGAAAAGATGCGGACTGCAGTGCTGGTTGGCGTGGGAAAGCCTTGCATCTTCAGCATGACAGGGGGCAGCTGGAAGTGGGAAACAGCATGACAAATTGCCTGCAAACGAGGCCACAGCTGCGTCTCTTGGCCTTCTAGCATTACAAGTCGATTTGTGTACTCAAATACAGCATCATAAATTTCGTTTTTGATATGGGGAGGGGGGATTTTTCATTTTGATATCGGCCGGAAAGAACACATCCGCGATCTTCAGCTGCAGTCCGGTGTGGAGCAGCGTCTCGTGGGGCACGGTGTCGGCATCGCGGGCGAAGGGCGGCGGCAGCCACCGGTAGGGCGGCACGCCGAAGAGCAGGACGAACATCAGGGACCAGGCGACGAGCCCGAGCGTGAGGGAGACGTACGCAAAACGGCCGGCCTGCACCGGCTTCCGCATGCCGAGGCTGGAGCCGACCAGCGTCGCGGTCGAGCCCGCAATCCCGAGCGGAATCATGTACAGCTGCGAATAGGTGCCGTCGATGGCGGCGTGCACGGCGATGGCCGAGGCGGACACCTGCGATATCAACACGGTCAGGATCTCGCGCGCCACCCACTCCGTCAGCACGTTCGCGCTCGACCGCACGGCAAGTTCGCCGTACGAATACAGCGTATGGATGTGTCAGAGTTGAAATCGACAAAGTTGAAATAATTTGCCATGCATAAAATGGATGCCAACCGGAACCCAGTTTCTAAGTGGCGCAAGACAAATTTCGGTGGTCCCTAAATCCATTTTGTCATGCTGTTTAGGCAAAGAACAGCGATTTTCTCATGCTACTTTAGCAGCTCGAGCTGTAACCCCAAACAGGCTTACAATCGGCCTCACTTGCCTGCTCTGCAACACACGTGCCTCGGGTCATGCATTTTATGCATTACAAACTATTTCAACTTTGACGATTTCAAACCTGACGCTTCCATACAGCGCGTGCCCACTGTACACCGCCGGGTCGGACAGATTGGAGAGAAAAAATATGTGCTCCTGCTCCACCGGCTCCTCCTCCTGTTTTGACGAGCTTTTGTCGTTGTTGCTCATCGAAGTTGTAGTTGCACTATGATAACCTCCGCGCGGACTTGCTTTTTTGTTTACTGTATAGTTTGCCGGTTGCTGTCCCCGTGGTTGCACCGCAGGACCATTTATTCCCAGCACGCGGGCGTTGGTGGTCTCGCGGAAGGTGCGGAACCACTTGTGAAACACCAAGTGATAGCCGAGGAAAAACAAAAGCCAGGTGAAGCTGGTGCCGAGCCCCGCTCCCATCGCGGCGTGGTCGCGGCCGGAGATGAATTCGATGCACAGATACACCCAGACCCCGTGGAGGCAGATCGCGGCCATCTGGTAGGGCTGAATGTGGTGCAGCTCCCGGACGTTTGCGAAAAACTTGCGCACGATGTCCGAGAACAAAAAAAGCGGCACAAATAAAAACTGCGAGTGCAGAAACTCCACGGCCTGCGCGGCTACGTTCGGGTCGGTGTGCGTCGCGAAGGTGTCAAAGATGTTGGACGCGCAGATCCCGCAGCTCAGGATGATCACCGGCATGTAGCACACGATCAGCAGCTGCGCCTGGGCCACGTAGTGGAAGATCTTGGTGTGCTTCTTCGCCCCGAACGCGACAGACACGAGCGTATCTAACGCCTGATTGAACCCGATGCCGGGCGCGATTCCGAAAACGTTGATCAGGGAAATCCCCAGGGCGATGCCCCCGAGCGCGTAGGTGCGGGTGTCCGGCGTGGCCATAATGCCCACCAGGACGTAGTCGATGGTTTGCGGCAGAATCAGCATAATGCAGTAGGCGCAGTTGGGCACCGCGTTGCGGACCGCCTGCCCGCCCAGGTTCTTCAGCGCGCGCCACTTCTTGTTCTTTTTCGGTGCAGGAGCAGACGACGGCTTGGAGCTTTTCATCGTGTTTGCTTTACGTGTCTCGGCCGCGAGCGCGTCAAACGAGGCGGTCGACCCGGAGAGGAAACTAGGCAACGGGGGGTAGTATCCTGTGCAAAAGTATCGTACTCGTACTAATTGCGTTTATGCTTTTTGCTAAGGTAAATCCGCATTACGAATTCAATTTGTAATGCACAGTCGATTTGTAATGCAATTTCTACTAGTGCGATACTTTTGCAGTTCATAGGTAGTAGGGCGTCAGCAGCCATCGGACGAGATCGCGACGATTCCAGTCGAGGGGCAGCAACGCGCCCGCGAAAAAACCGAGGCACGACTCCTGTTGCATTATCACATGGAAAAATGTCTGGGTCTGGAAGGTTGGAACTTGTGATGCTGTCTCTGGATTCTAGAAAAATTTGCATTGCATGACCAGCAACAGAACTCCCGTTTGTGCTACCCGGAGAGGGCATTTCTCATGCGGTAGAGGCATCACAAAGGCCTCTAAAAATCTGTCATGCTAGAGCATGCATCACAGACATCATGAGTCCTTCAAAATATGCATGACAAACCTGGCAAGCTTCCAGACCCAGACATTTCTACATTTGATATGCATCATTTTGTCGCCATTTTCCATCTCTCCTTCAGTTCTTTTCCCTCCTTGCACATGATGATCCGTAGTACCATCCCGACCTGCGCGCGGACTCAGCAGCGGGTTTGCAGGGAAGTATCAAAAAGAAAAATCCCCCCTCCCCATATCGAAAACGAAATTTGTGATGCAGTATTTGAGTACACAAATCGCATTTGTCTTGCTGGAGAGGACTGCAGACCCATATCAAGCCTGAGTAGAGAGGCTTTGACTTAGGCGCTTAGCATGAAAAGCGTCCGTGATGTTGGCTCAACAGCATGACAAACCGGCTCCATAATGGGACGGAAGCTGCTGCCCTTGTCTTCTTGCAGCACAAACATGATTTGTGACCTCAAATCAGCAACACAAATTTTCGAAAACCTACCTCTTCAATATGGGGAGGGGGGATTTTTCCTTGCGATAGGAAGGAAGGCAACACCAGCGCCACCGCGTCGTCCTGAACGCCGATCGACGTCCGGCTGCGCAGTTGCTCAAACGTACTGTTTCTGCTCGGAATGGTGCCGGGCAAGCGCGGCCCTGGCTGTTGTTCTGATGCAGCGTTAATATCGGCTCGAAGGTCAGCTTCGTCCATCGCGCGCTCGTCTTCTTGATCTTCTTGTTTTCCTTCCTCTTCGTTGATTAACGTGTCGATGTAAATCACGAGTAAAAAGCCCACCACGACTAACGAAGCGGCAAACAGCTTCAGCGGACTGGTTGCTTCCACAAAGCCGCGGCCGAACCGGTCCCACAGCATGGAGATGGGGATGGAGATGTTTAACCCGACCGCCAGCATGTATGGATTGTAAAAATGTCTGGGTCTGGAAACTTGTGATGCTGTTTGTGCATGACACAGAAGGTCTAGCATGCCAGTCCTAGCAACACAGGTTTTGAGCAGGTTAGGCGATGCCTAATCCAAATGACAAGTTCCCTCTTTTGGTGGCAAGAAATGAGCATGCAACTTTTGCGGTCCATGCATGACAGATTTTTTTCTGGTCTCAAATACGCATCAGAAGTTTACATGTTTCCAGACCCAGACATTTTTGCATTGCATAACATCGTCGGACCCACGATCTGGCAGCTGCGCACCCAGAGGTAGTTGCTGCCCGCCCCCCCGATCACGCCGAGGAACATGAAGCTCGCGACTAGGTAGGGGATGGTGAAGGCCTCGATCAACGCGGACGCGTAGGCGCCGGTGATGAACTCCGGCGCGAAAAAGTAGTACCCCGGAATCCCGAGGAACGTGAAGAAGCACCCAGTGACATCCTGTGTAAAAACGTCCGCACCCCAAAGTCAAGATCGGGATCTCGCAACACAAATCCAGAAGCTTTGGCAGTCAGGCATGACAAGTTGCAGTCCGTAGTGGAGTGCAGGTTGGCGAGGACAGCCGCATTACAAATCCATCTGTTATCCTGTTTGCAGGATGACAAATTCCAAAACACGATTGGAAATGCCTATCATGGGAAAGCGCATCACAAATGTTCCTGTCATTGCCAATCTGCATGACAACTCTGGGGCGGGGACGTTTTCACTCAGGATAGGTGAGAGTAAGAGTCCACATCGTGTCCGCGGTCGTTTTCACGAACCTCTTCAGCGTGATCGCGTAGGCCGTGTAGAAAATCACGGCGAACAGGGCGGCCAGATCGCCGTAAAGCGCGTAGGGGTACTCCTTCTGCAGGACCGCGTTTGAAGATGACGCTGGATTCGAAGCCGATGTTCCAGGTGTTGAGGACGATCCTGTAGTTCCATCGGAAGTAGATGAAGAAGATGTTGCTCTACTCTCCCCTCCACTACCACCACTTTCCGCTGCACTCACCGCGTCTAAATGTAGGACGAGGACGCATCCAGAGAGGCAGAGCGCGACGCCCAGCCACTTTGCGGGTACCGAGGGTTCCCCGAGGAAGAAGATGGATGCGATGTAGATGGTGACCGAATTAACGCGGCCCACCAGGGTCGCGGAACTGAGCGTGGTGAACTGCATGGCCAGCATGTCCAGAAAGGTGGCGCCCATGAACAAAAGGCCGATACCCAGCGGCCGCAGCAGCGTCTCCCACAGCGGAAACTTGGTGCCGGGCGTCACCTCCACCAGCTCGATCATCTCGCCGGGGGACACGGTCACGAGCGTGTCCAACTCCGGGATCCGCTTGCTCCAGTTGCCCTGCGAATCCTCGTCCTCCTCTACGCTGCCGCCTATGCCAACGGACAGGCTGTTCCGCGGGTCGAACACCGAATTGCCCCGCTGCTTCAGCTCCTGCTGCAGCAGCGCGAGCGTTTCGGGTTCCAGCTGCACAGGGATGCGGAGGGAGTACGTGCTTCCGCTCGGGTCGCTCTATCAAAGTGAAACATCCCCCCTCCCCATATTGAAACGGAAACTTCTGTTGCTGGATTTGTGCACACAAATCAGCCCTGTCTTGCAGTGAGGCACTACAGGCAAAGCCTCAGCCTGCGGGGGGTGTTTTGTTGTAGGCACTTAGCATGACAGAGGCCTGCCATGTACGTGAAACAGCATTACAAATTGCCTCCATAAGGCGGCGAATTCTTTGGATTTGCCTTCTTGCAAGAGAGACAGGATTTGTGGCCACAAATCAGCATCGCAAAGTTTTAGGAACATACGTTTTGAATATGGGGAGGGGGGATTTTTCCTCACGGTACGCTCTCGTCCAGACTCAGGTCCCAAGTCGGGTCGCGGATGCGCGCGCTCACGCCCGGCGGCCGCCGCATGCTCATCGAGATCGGATCAAAGGCCAGCTGGAAAGTGTTGGAGTTCGATCGCAAGGTATTGATGTTCATCTCATTGTTAATCTCCGCCGAACGGGACTTGCTCGGCTGCAGCAGCGGTTCCTCGAGTAGCGGCACGTTCTGCTGCGGTAGTTGTAGTGCCGGTCGGGTCGGCTGTTTGGGCTGCGGCGAGTTGGGGTTTTTTGTCGTGTGTAAGCCAAAAATGGTGCGACTATCATCTTCCGGTAGTTGATGTCTATCCGTCTCTGTCATGTTGTCCTGTATACCAATCGGGTGCTCTGGTACACCTCTACCCGTCGCTCCGCCCGGGGGTGATGCAGGCCGCGCGGCCAAAGTTGGAGGGGACAGAGTTAAACTGGTCAACTGCACGGTGGAATCCATCGTCGCAGTCCCGCCACTATCAAATGCAAAAATGTCTGGGTCTGGAAGAATGCGCGATTTGTCATGCAGCTTTTCCATGACCCATGAAGCCTGGAATGCAGGACCTAGCATGACAGATTCTGTGCGATCTCTCTCATGCCTATCCTGCATAAGAAACTCCCTCCCGACTTGGTCAAAACTGGACGACTTTTGGTAATCATGCAACACAGATTCTTGCATGCTTCAGATTTAGCATGACAAACTTGCATTCTTCCAGACCCAGACATTTTTACAGTTGATAGCCACCGGTGGTCGTCGACGCTAAGCTCGCGGCGCTCATGTGGTTCTTGTTCAACAGAGAATTGCTGTCTTTTAGTACCCCCGGCTCCCCTCCGTCTGGCAACGTCGGGGGCTGGTATGTGCTGCTGTTTTTATTCACGTTATTTTCATCCGGGTTGATGTTCTTTAACGCGCTGCCCAGCGTGAAAGGCTTGTCGCTGAAAAACGGTTTGTTCCGCTGGTGCAGCGGGGTAGTTGTGCTAGCATTTTGATTTTGCTCTTGCCAGCGGAGCGCCTTCGCGGTCCTCGCTGCTGTTGCTGCACCACCACCGGTTGCTGTACCAGCGCCTGTGCTAGTACTGGTCATCCCGGCAGCCGACAAAACGTTGTGCAGCATCTGCGTGGTCTTGCTCGAGAGCGGGTAGTTGTCCAGATTCTGGGCCAGCGTGCGCACCAGCATCTCCGCGTGCCTCTGCGTCATTTTCGGCTTGATCCCCCGGAGATATTCCGCGTTGCTCCGGAAAGAACCCAACAGCCCAGCATTTGAGTAGGTCCCAACCACGCCACCCTTGCGGCGCTCCCGTTTCAGGTACGCCGCGTCTTGGTTGGTGGTGCGGGCCCGCTGGAGGCCGTCCACCTCCAACCGGTCGAGTTTCGGCACCCCCGTCTGATTAGTGCGCGGCTTTGACGACCGCCGGGAGGCCCTGTGTGTCTCCCCCGCTTGAAGATTTTTACCGCCCGTCAAAATCTCGTTGCCCCCCAGGTCGAAGCTGCGCTCGCGGTAGATCGCCGCGCCTTTGGACACCGTGGGCGACCGCGGCGCGAGGGCGTCCAGCGACGCCCGCCGCTTTTCCACCGCGTCCACGATGCCAGCGGGGGAAAAGTCCAGGTCCTCCACCACCTGAACCTCCGACAGAATTTCGTCCTCGTCGCTGGACAAGACGACCTCGTCTTCGTCGTCGGACTCGGAGGATAATTCCTCAGCATTACCATGGTCGTTTTGGCTGTAAACCACGCGTTGCGGGGGCTCCTCCAGAGCTTCGAACGCACGCTCCTCGTCGGACAAGGCAGCGGGTCTCCAGAAATCTTCCACCGCACCGGCCGTCCTGGCCGCCGGTCGGTTCGCGTTCTGCGGTGAAAAGTTATTTCCCGGCGCAGCTAGTGGCTTGTTCGCTAGAAGGTGGGTGGGCCCGCTGCCGTCGAAATAGTTTCCACCCACTTCCTCCTCTTTGACATCCTCCAGGAAAGTAGAGCTCGGGGGAGTTAGGTCGGGATGTTGAGGACCTACCCTCGTTCCATTGGTAGAAAGATAACCGTGCTGTAGTTCATCTTGCACCGGACCCCCTTCACTCTGCTCCGCCTCCACGCGAATGCGAAACCGCAGATACCAGAGTTTGCCGCGGAGCACCTTCTGCAACTCGGCGGGGAAAATGAAGAAGTACAGGGCGTACAAAAGGTAATAGGCATTCAGAAGCACCATATCAAATGTAAAAATGTCTGGGTCTGGAAGAATCCAACTTGTCATGCTGATTTTGGATTGTAAAAAAATCTGTATTGCATGAGCAGCAAAGAAAGTCCAAGTTTTGCTACACGGAAAGAGCGTTTGTCATGCGGTATAGGCATCAGGTAGCCCTCGCAAAATCTGTGATGCTAGGGCATGCATCACAGACATCAGGAGTCATGCAAAACGTGCATGACAAACCTGGCAATCTTCCAGACCCCGACATTTTTACATTTGATACACCATCACCAATACCGGATGGGGAAACCGGCCGGCCGTGAATAACCACTGCTCCAGGATCCCCATCGCATTCCACAAAAGAGAGATGATCAGAATACATCCCAACCCAAATCCGTACTGCAAGGTGATCATGATTTTTGCTCTCCGCGCAGCAGTTGTAGTGGACGGCACAAAACAAAAACTATTATAGTCCACCTCCCTTTACAAGTTTTAACGGAGTTGTTCACTACGTCGAAGAAGGCGTACTAGAATACGTTACCTAAAAACAGACACTTCCTCTCTTTGCGACAAGGACTACTTGCTAGAAGACGTTACTACAGCGGCCCTCGACAGGGCTCGAAACCAGCGCTAAGTTGAAAATCATGAGGCGTGAAAATTTATGCAGGTGACGCTTTTATTGTTTGCTGTTGCACGAATTGCAGCCCTCGTCCTCCTCGGGGGCAAGTTGGTAGTAGAGCGACTATGACTACAGAACATTGCTTCATGTAGTTGGTTACTACGCTGCTTGTACAGGAACTACGCGGGTAACGATTTCAAAGACCTGGAAGATCCGGTGCTGGTGAAATAAGAATTGGAGGGGAATGAGGGATGGATCATGGGGTTAGGGAAAAAATGGACCTGTTGCAACAACTCGATACACAACTGGTGAAGAACTTCCTATACATGGAGAGATCATGCAAGATTAAGATATGAGTCCTGCTACAAGAAATCGACAGAAATGGAAATATGAGTTCGCGTTCATCACACACGTAGCGTAATTGTCGGTAGATAAAGTCAAGAACAAGATTGCGTACTATCACGCGCCCGAGAAAAAATTGAAATACCGTAATGCATCAGCACAGAGGCAGATGCCACAATAACAGTTGCCGCCCTCGTGCTGTCGAGACTCTCTCCACAATTCAAAAGCATACCAGATAGTACACCGAAAGTTTTTCTCTTGATTATTCGGACACGTAGTTCACACCACCAGATTTGATGGATTGTAAATGAGATGGGAGTTCTGTAGTTCCTTGCAAAATTTTCTGTAGTTCGTTTCAAAATTTCAATTTATTTGCGTTCCGTCGACGAAATAAGATTGGAATAAGGATTTGGAAACAGTAAGTACATGAACAAAAAGAAACACACATCCGCAGGCAAAACCTTTATTCACTCTCATCTCATACGGCGTTTCTTCGTGGGCGGCTGCGCGACCTCGGTCTCTGAGGTCGTGTCCTCCTGCTTTCCTCTCTTTTGCGGAGAAGCCGCCGGTACATCATAGCGCGCGATATTTTTAATCCGTTTCGTGGGGTTCTTTTTGTAGTTCTTCGTGGCACACAGGCAGTACGAGTCCTGGTCCGCGTCCGCCACCTTCGCAGAGTTCAGTTTGTTCGCATGCAAAATCTCTCCGGTAATTCCTACCGTGCCGGACCCTTTACGGAAATGCCCGCATCTCCCAAGGAAAACGCTTGCCTGCAGCACCACGCAGGTCTTATCGCCCGGAGGACGCCGCTGCCGCTTTTTAGCTTCGTGGACCGCTTTCGAAAAGTACATGTTACCCCCCAAAAACCCGCCCGTGCCGGGGCGAAAGCGGTTTTCCGCTAAAATCGAAGACGCGCGGGAGGAGGTCGTGGCGTGGAACATAACCTGCCACCCCTCGTCTGTTATCTTCTCCGGAACAGGATGTGCCATAGTGGTTCTTGATGAAGACCTAGACCCGTCCCTGATCGATGGTAGTAGAAGAAACGAATATAGTACGAAGGAAAAGTAGCGAAACAAGAACAAAAATGTTTGTAGTTGTACTAACTTGTGCAGTTTGCGGAAAAAACCTCAAGCTCCTATTACTTTTAGAGCCGAAATCTATGTCAATCTTTTTTTTCGCACTGTCTGCACAAAACACACAGGGGCTGGCATGATCGGTCGATTGTGAGCTTCGACATAATCTTCACGAACGACAACAATCTCTTCCTCTCTACTTAGCAGAAAAAGACACACGAAATTTCATCGATTTCCATAAAACGAACACGAGAGCGACGAGCACTACGACGACAATTGCGATTAAAAATCGCGATTTACGACCTTTTCCAGACGACAGGAAAACGAAGAGAAAAAAGAAGACGAAGAATACAGGATGAAACAGAGTAGTGTATGCAACTACAGCACGACTGCGGATCTCATTTTCAGCGGAGTGGAACACAGTGTCAAAAAGTGACAGTCGCAACGAGGGAGTGCTGCACATGTTTTGTGTGTTTAATCGCCTCGGCTCCGAAAGCCAAAGTTGTTCTGTCGCTTCGTACTACCGGTTCAGAAATTTATGCTGCGTCGCGACTTTCCGCGCTGCAATACAGACGCCAAGTTGTAGACGTGCAACTCAATATGCGAACGACCGAGCACACATCTCTGCTGTAGAACCGCATTTGAACCACATGCCTCTGTGCTCCGCCTTGGCCTTGGTGAAAATATTAAACGAAGTCGCTGAGTGTAGTCTTTGGATTTCTTTTTTGGATTTCCATTTCTACTTTTCTTTAAGTGTAAAAACATTTGAGTTTCTTGAGTTGGGGGACAATCCACTACTTAAAGTGATGGGTTCTTAAGACTTCCGCTGTAGCAGCATCGCCAGCGTCAGCGACTGACCAGTTTTAAACAAGAACGTCACTCCTTTCTCTTGTCCTTCTTTTTCTTCTTCTCCTTTTTCTCCGCACGGTCATCGTCGTCTTCGTCTTTCTTCTTTTTCTGCCGCTTTTCTTGCTCTTCGCTTTCCTCACCGCTGTCGACCATATTTTTGTCGGCTTTTTTCTTCGGCCTCTTTTCGTCGCGGGTTGAAACGGCCTTAGCTTTCTCCCCATCGGCGCTCTTCCTCCTTCCTTTGTCCCCACCGTCTTTGTCGTCTTTGGACGTCGTTGCTTTAGCCGCAGCAGTACTCCTATCACCTCCCGCTTGTTTATTGTCGTCTTTCTGTAATTTGTCCTTCTTCTTGGGGCGTTTCGGGGTTGGCGCCGCCTCGTCAGCACCGTCCTCATCATCCCCAGTGCTCTCAGCTCGCTTTCGCTTCGCACCAGTGGATTTGCGTCCCGCCTTACTGCGCTTATGATCTTCTGGCTCCTCGTCGGAGTCCTCTTCGGCGGAGAGTTCATAGCTGTCGCCACTCTCCTCCTCCTCCTCACTTCTTCCACGCCCCCGGCGCTCGTTGCGCCGATTTTTGCCGCCGGTAGTAGTAGTTCCTGCGTTGTTCTTCTTTCGTGAAGCCCTTCTTCCGCGAGGATTGTTATCCCTATCTGATGAACTATCGTCGCGGCTGTCGTTACGGCGACCGCGTGCCGGCTGCTTCTTGTTGTTGTTCCCGCGAGCAGGACGGTGGTCACCGCGCCTATTGTTGTCGCCCCGGTCTTTGATATCTCGACGACGAGTAGTTTTTTTATCGTCGGGCGAAAAGTCGCTGTCGCCGCTGTGTGCACTGCCGCTCTTGTACGCCTCGTCTTCGTCGTTCATTTTCGAAATTTGCTCGATGAAGGTGTAAAACATGGCTTGGCGGGCCGTCGGAGCCACGGCGTTCCACAGCTTCTCGTTCTTGAACATCTTGTCGGCGTCCTTGTAAGCCAGTTCCGGCCCCACGTTCTTGTTCTCAGCGAGGAATTGCACCTTTTGCGGTTTATTTTATATTTTTGTCGAGTGGTTGTTAAATTCTTTTTCCCGCTTGAGCTCTTGTTTCTTCCACTTGAAGAACTTGTTCCACCAGGTGAACACAATATGAAGATCGCGCCCGGAGGGCGATATTGGTAACCAAATGCGTGCGCGAAAATCTAACCAGCGCGAAAGCCAAACCGCGGGCCGCGCTTTCGCCGCGCGGCTGCCACCACCATTTCTTTTAATTAGAATCCCACTTCTTCTTCTTGAGCCTTCTTTAATTAGAGTCAACACGTAGACTAGGGTCCACATGTGTCGCTTCCAGAACATGGCCGCGGCCGGGTGGGATGTCAGTCGACGCCGCTAGTTTTAGTGCGCATAGGTTGAAAGTAAGTCTCGCCATCTATCGCGGGTCATCGGGGGCCTCCGGATTCGCATTCAAAGCTTATCGCAAAGGGCCGCGGACAACTACTGTCGCCCGCGGCGGCCCGCAGGCTCCTGCGATAAGCATTGAAGGCGAAATCCGGTCTGCTATTTCGCAGCGGGGAATCCTTTCTAGCCCCCTGCATGACAAACTGGCCACCTGGGCCGGAAGGTATGTGGAAAGCCGAAAATCCGGAAACCCTTCCGGGCAACCAAAGTCGGGCACTTCAGACGCGGCGGAGGTGCCGAATTTGTGCCCACAACCCAGACCAAATGCGGATTTTGGGACATGCCTCCGCCCGCTTCTAGTCCGACTTTTTTTTCCCAATCGTGATGGTATGGCGCAAGCGCGCGCCCGCCGGACCGCCCTTGGCGGCCAGTTTGCAAGCCTGCCGAGGGTTCTCGATTTTCGGTCATTTCCCCTTTTTTTTCAAGTTTCTAGGTGGCCGAAGGGCTCTGGACATTTTCACCGCCCGCAGCTGACTGGCAGTTTTGGAGCCTGGGGAGGGACTGCGGTTTTGCGCAATTTTTCACTTTTTTCTGGTTTTCAAGTGGCCCGGGCGATCTGCACATTTTCACCGCCCCCACCTGGGTGGCAGTTTTGAAGCCTGCGGAGGGATTGCGCTTCTGCAAGATTTTTATTCTTTTCCCATTTTCTAAGTGGCCCGGGTGATCTGGACAAAAAGTTTCTTCCACTTGAAGAACTTGTTCCACCAGGTGAACACAATATTAGAGTGCTGCCAGGACGAGGTGTCTCTAGTTCAAGTTCTCACTTCCGGTTCCGTCTGAAACAAATAAAAGCAAAAAAGTTCGTATAGTACCAGTTTTTGTCGGCTTTTCTTTTCGGCCTTGTCGTTTCTGATCTTTTCTTCTTCGACCGCCTTGACGCACTCGTTGTACAAGATACGGATATGCACCGAGTTCATCTTCCGGCGCCTTCGGATAAAATCACGAAACTCCTCCAGCGTGGTATCTTTTGTTAGCACGAAGCCACGCGATTTCTCCTTTTCCTGGTCCATCATCTCCTGGAGTTTCTGCCGGTCTTCGTTCAAACTGTCCAGCAGATCTGTGTGTGGAGGTCGTGGTGGATTATTTTGAAAACGCTTTCATCTACTTCTTGATTGTTGCAGCTTCCTCATGTTGAATTTTGCCAAAGCACGGTCTTCGCGAACTCAGTCCATCCAATGTCAACTACAGCTATAGGATACGTACGCATATACGTCGCAACAAGCAGAACAATGTTGAGACCAACTTGTGATGTAGTACCCAACTTGTGAAAAACTACGAAGAGAACGACAAAAAACCAGTCCGTACCATCGACGTGGACGTTGTAAATCGCAGTCGGCCCGCTGCCAGTGGCGCCCAGAATGTCCTTGTATTCCTGCAACTCAGTGAGGTTGTACCTGTCGTGGAGAGTATGATGCCAGGGCTAGCCATCAAGTACATCACAGCCTGCTATTTTTCATCTTCACGAAGCGGGAACGGTACTGCGGTGGGCACAAGCAGGAACCCTTCTACACAGGCATTCACAGAAACTACACTCGGAGATACACAAGATACAGGTGGCCAGTCAGAAGATTGAACAAAAAAAAATTATTTCATAAAATTCTATACCAGTTTATGAGTTCAGCCCACGTGGTGTCCACGCAAATCAACCGAGTGTCCGGCGTTGGCGCGCGGAGGTATTCCTTTTCCCCACCCCCGTCATCGCGGTTATTATTTCTCGTGCGCGAGCTGGAGCGGTCGCGGCCCTTCCGGCTTTTATTGCGCGACTCCTCCCGCGCCTTGTCCTCCTTGTCCAGATGTTGCTCCATTTGCTTAAAGTCTTCCGTGCTCTCGCAGGTCCGGTCTCGGAGCCACTTTCGGAACCGCACCCGCGCGTCGCGCTCCCGCCGGAACTTCATGCGTTTCGCGTCCGCGAGCATTTTCGCGCTGACCTCCTTCAGGTACTTTTCGAACGCGGCTAACGCATCCGCCCGGTGGAGCCACTGGAACACCGGGTCCTTCTCGTACATCTTCTCCACTTCCCTCCACGTGATATCAACTGCAAATATGTCTGGGTAAGGAAACTTGTAATGCTGCGTTGGGAATAGTGAGCGCTCTGTAATGCACAGGCAAGCATGAGAAATATTTTCGGGGCTACAGTGTTGCGCTTTCTGCATGACAAGCTGCGTTTTTGCATGACAAGAAAAAGGGTCTCTTCTTGGACACGCATCACAGACTTTTCAGTCATGCCAGACAAGCATGACAAATCTCGCAATCTTCCAGACCCGGACATTTTTGCATTTGATACGTGATCTTCGACCGCAGAATGTCGGGGTTCTCCGCCAGCATGTGGGCGAACTCGCCGATCTTCTCCATCTTCTGCTTCTTCCGCTCCTCGCGGTCCTCCTTATCATACGCGTCCTGGAACTCCTGGAAAACCTCGTCGCGCTCGTTGTCGTCCTGAGAGGGGTTTCGAGAGCAGGAAGTTTTTCCTTTTTTGGCAACAACGTGAAGTGAAGTCAGTGATAGTGAATCAAGCTCAGAACAGTTTACAGCTTCGTTGTGCTTGTGATTCTAAAAGTCAACAAGGACCTTTTTTGTGTTCCAAAAATGCATATATGAATTATCCGACAAAAAAGCGTAAGTATTTAAGTTGTACCAGCAGCGTCTTCCAACAGTCGAACTGGCTGCAGAATTCGTAGGCGTCGCGGAACCGCGCGCCCCGTTTCTTCCCCGGCCACCGCGACCGCAGCACCTCCAAGAGGTCGTGGCGCGCGTGGTGCTTGGCCTTCCGGATCTCGTCGCGCTTGGACACCTCTTTTCTCTGCAACACCTCGTGGAATATTTGCTTCCGGTCCCCACCGGACTCGATCAGCTGGAACCGGTTGTCGTTGGCATCCAGCTTTTTCGCGACGTCCTCCCACCGGAGTTTGTTGAATTTTCCGGTGTCCTTGTACACCTGGTCCAGGTATTGCTCCACGCAAGTGACAAACTGGGCGCGCCGGTCCTCCGGCGTCGGGTACTTCGTCCGCAACTCCTCCGCGGATAGGAACTTGTCGGCGTTTGCCTGCTGCTGTTGTCCGCGGCTCTCCGTAATCGACGTGTGCTCCACCTTGGCCGCCCCTGGCATACCGGACGTCGACGCCCCAGCAGTAGTGGTACCGCTGCTGGAACCCGCCGCCGCTGCTGCTGCTGCAGTGGTACTCGGTAATAGATCCAACGGGCACTCCCACTGCGTTTTCTTGGTTTCCGTGTTGTAGTAGTATTTCTTCCCTGCGCTCGCGCCCTCCGTCACGGTGTACTCCTTCCACACAATCACCGGCTTCACCCACTGCGTCTGCATGGTCACGCGGTTGTAGTAGTACGGCTTCCCGTCCGCGCTCAACGCCCGCGCCCAACCGCTTGGGAGGACCTCGTCGTTCGGGGCCGGGGTGCCCCCCGGCTGCTGCTGCTGCTCGCGGGCTGCCATACCGACAATACTTGGGGTTATAATTTCTTCGCAGATTTATCGTTTGCACGTAAGTACTAGCAGAGGGGCCTAGTACACCTCTCAATTTTTACTGACGAAAAACTCAATTACACTGTGTGGTCGCTTCGTCGTCTTTTTGTTGTTTTGCGAGGCTACGGCTAGAGTGGATTTTCATTTTATACGGCTTGACTATGGAGATCAGAGGGGAAAAATGCCATGTCGCTACTCAACTTTGTGAATCTATAAGGACATTCTGGTATTAGAAGTGACGCCGCGTGGTACGAGAGAAATCGTCGATGTGGTGTGTCGCTTGATCTCAAGGTCGCCTGTTGATGTCGGATTATAACCATCGAAAAGCATTCCTCGTACTAGTAAGAGAACCGTATTGGGGTAAGGTTGTAAGTAACTTTTATCAAATTCATGCTATACCGTCTCATCGGTAACGACAAATTTACATGTGCTTACTACACAAATATTCGATCGTTGACTAATGCAGAACCAGGCATTTGGAGATCGAAAAACGCGGCAGTAAGATGATGATCCAAAACAGGTAATCCAAATCGCACACCGGCTGCTACAGGAGAAGCGAAAGAGGCATGATGTAGATGTTGGAGTTGGAGATTCTGAACAATTTTATGCGGAACTCTATATCGTTTTTCGGTAGAACAAAGAAAATTTTCACCCACCGTCAGCAATGAGCAGCAACGATGTCCAATATTTTTTTTTGCTGCGCCGGCGTTTTCTGCCTTGGAAGGTGAAAAGTTTCTCAGAACCCACTTAGTAGTACAACTGAACCAACAAAAATAAACTAATGCTCACTTTATGTTCTCAAATAATCGCAACAAATCACTGATCCAAAGTCTTACTTTCGTCGTACTCTTTTTGAAAAACTGTATAATGATCGAGTTAGCTTACGCCCCTGCGCGACCTCCGCTGAGAAAAAATCAGTCGTAGGTCATGGCTCGGCGGTCCATCGGGGACAGCTTTTCGTCGTCATCGGCCTCGTGGATGACGACCTCGGTGGTTGTGAGGAGTCCAGCAACGGAGCTTGCGTCTTCCAGAGCGGTCCGCACCACCTTTGTGGGGTCCAAAATCCCCGCCTCCAGCATGTTGACAAACACGTCTTTCTGTGCGTCGTAACTGAAAAAGATAAAATGAAATCGATTGGAGCTGCTGTCGGGCTGCTCGGGACATGGTTCAGAATCAAATATCAGGTGCTCCTGCGGTTGTACCAATAGCAAATTATACCTTCCATAGTTATCATGCCTCCATCTACAACAAAAATTATCTTACCCCATTTTCTCGTCCTTTCCCTCCAGCAGCTTGTCGACGACGATGCTGCCCTCCTTCCCCGCGTTCCGCACGATCGCCAAACAGGGCTGTTTCAGCACCTCGCGGACGATCTGCACCCCGAAATTTCGGTCGTCGTTGTCCAACTTGACGTCCTTCAGGCTTTCTGTCGCGTACAGAAACGCGGTCCCGCCCCCGGGCACCACTCCCTCCTCGAGCGCGCACCGCGTCGCACAGAGGGCGTCCGCAAACCGGTCCCGCGTTTCCCCCACCTCCACCTCCGAGCTGCCGCCAACCTTAATGACCGCAACGCCGCCCTGCAGCCGGGCCAGTCGCTCCTTCAGCTTGTCCGCCTCGTATTCCGAAGCCTGGCGTGTGATATGTTATTTTGGTACAAGAACAACCGCACTAACAGACAGCTATCTGGATCATGTTCACCTTACCTACGACACAGCATATGCTCCACTTCTACACTCGTAGAAGTCCCTGTCTCAGAAAACGAAATCATTGTCAATTTTTGGCTTTGCTACTGCAAAACTCTAAAAACTTGGATGTATATGGTAGTGGTTTCTAATACGGTATTTTCCATCGCCACGCGTATCTCCGCACACCGCAGTTCGATTTCCGGCTTGCTGCTTCGGCCTTCCAGGATGGTGGTCGAGTCTTTTCCGATGAGGCACTTCTTGCAGTTACCCAGCTGCTCCAACCTTGTCTGATCCAGCCGTAGACCTACGTCTTCGGTGATCACCACGCCGCCCGTCAACACCGCCATGTCGTGCAGCATCGCCTTCCGGTTGTCGCCGAAGCCCGGCGCCTTGATCGCGCACACGCGCAGGCCCCCACGCAGCTTGTTCACCACCAACGTGGACAGCGCCTCTCCCTCCACTATGGGACTGTCAGGATTGAAATCGTCAAAGTTGACGAAATAGTTTGTCATGCATAAGATGCAACAAAGGATACCCAGACGCCACAAAGCCCGCAGGGAACCATCCACAACCAAGAACCTTGGAAAAGTGGGGTCCCCGAAGACCTGGAGGTGAGATGCGAGGGGGACGCCTATAAGCTAAAGCACCAAAAATAGCACTAAAGCAGAGGCACAAGGAAGCGAAGTAGTCAGAAATTAACTTGGAGTGTCCTTACGGAAAACTCCAGCAACCTCAGTCCACCACTGCCCTCGCATTCACAAATGCAACAACACAAGAGTGTCGAAGCAACACCGGACGTCCATCCCACCGAAAGCACCACGGAAACCAAGAGCTGTCACACAGTAGCACCAACGATGAGGCAATGCCCTGGGGGGAAACAAGGACAAGCATCCTCCCCATAATGTCTAAGAGCAGACAACACGCGTCATATAGTTTCAGCTCTTAGAAACAGACTGACGCCGTGAAAACGCTCCCAATCCGCCCAGTGGCAGGCATCAAGGGGCAGGGGCATAGAGAGACACGACCAGACAACCAACCCGACCAGGTAACCCGACCTGCCTTGCCACAGAGCAGACGGGGACCAGACAGTGGTGGTGGCAAAATTTCCGACGCCACACAAACCGCCAGAAACCCATCGACAGCAACCAAGGAGAGGGGGACAGCAGAAACAGATCCAAGCGACATAACACTCAGAACTGGCGGGGAAGAGGAGAACGTGGGGCTGCAAGCCCCCGCACCAAATCCACCAGCACCACCATCGAGGACAACCCCACACCAAGGAGGCATCAACAGGAATCCCACGTAGGAGACCCTACGCGACGGACGGGGCGAAGTCCATCTACTCACCTAACGCCTGCCGGTGTAGCAACCACGGACCAGGGTAGTACATCCTGCAACGGGAATAACAGCCCCGGGGCGGAAGACTACAGCACTGGGAAGGAGGTCCGAGAAGGTCCCAGAAGTAATACTGAGGGAGCACCCAGGAAGGTCCGAGAAGAGAACGCTGCAGAGGCTCCGGCTGGGACCGCGACGTGTTAACGACCTTGCAGGAACACTCGTGCACCCGCAACACAAATGATGATGATGAGGACCCGAGGTTGCTGGCCCATAGTACACGACGAGCAGCTGCATCCACGGAAGCGGTCGTTTACCATGCATAAGATGCAGCCCACAAAGTGCCTGTCTTGCAGAGTAGGCAAGTGAGGCAGATTGTAAGCCTGTCGAGGGGTAGACATGGAGCTGCTAAAGTAGCATGACAAAAGGCGTCTTCCTTACCCAAACAGCATGACAAACTGGATTTCGGCTCTACCCAAATTTGTCATGCGCCACTTGACAACTGGGTTGCAACTTTCATCCATTTTCTGCATTACAAGTTTATTTCGACTTTGTCGATTTCAGTCCTGACACATCCATATCCACGTCTTCCGCGATGATCAGCAGCGGTCGCTTCGCTTGCACCACCTGCTCCAGCACGGGGAGTAGAGGTTCCAGGTGCGACAACTTCTTTTCGTAGAACAGAATCAGCGGGTTCTCCAGCTCCAGGCTGTTTTGGTTCTTGCTGGAGGAGGAGGAGGAACCACCACTGCTACCGGGAGAATCTAGGAAGTAGGGACTCAGATACCCGCGGTCGATCCGGCACCCCTCCACGATCTCCAGTTCGTGTTGCAGCGTATTGCCGTCCTGCACCGTAATGTTCCCCTCCTTACCGACGCGGTGGAAGGCCTCCGCGAGCAGGTTGCCGATCTCCGTGTCGGAATTGGCCGCGATGGTCGCCACCTGCCGAATCTCTTCGGTGCCGCCCACCGGCTTGGCAAGCCGGGACAAATCTTTGCTCACCACCTCCACAGCGTGGTCAATGCCTGGTTAGAGTGAATAGATGCATGTCGAAGATCAGTCGTGTAACGAACAAGCAACTTCAAGAACTACAATTCTAAACGAACAAAAATACCTCTTTTCAAATCCATCGGATTCATGCCCGCGGCAACCGCCTTGCAGCCTTCGCGAAACATGGCTCTCCCAAGCACCGTCGCGGTGGTGGTCCCGTCGCCAGCGATGTCGTTGGTTTTGCTGGCTACCGACTTGGCGAGTTGCGCGCCCAGGTTCTCCATTTTTCCGCTCAGATCGATCGATTTGGCGACGGTGACGCCGTCCTTGGTGATTTTGGGCGGTCCGTACATTTGCTCGATCACCACGTTGCGACCCTTGGGTCCGAGCGTGGCTGTTACTGCATCCGCGAGCCGGTTCCAGCCGCGCAGCAGACCCTGTCGCGCCGGGGTTCCGTTCACAATGGATTTGCCGGTAGCAAACGAGCGCGTGGAAGGTGGACCTCGGACGTGCCTGTTTCTGGTCTGCCACATCGTCGTCGTTGAACAGCTGGTGGATGTCTGCACACAGCTGGAAGTCGACGGCGCCCGCGAAGACGTGGCACGACAAGAAGTCGTGTGCAATGACAAACCCCGCATTTCTTTCGATCCAATGAGAAAAGAACGCGGCGATGGTGCGCCTGAAGGCTACTGTCTGAGAGGACGCAAAATCAAGTACAGTAGTACTTGCTCAGGCGCCGACAGGTAAGAAAAAAAGTAAACGCAATTTTACTTCAAGGTGATCCCGAGGCAAGGCCCACGTGCATGGAGCTGCGAAGGTCACCGGATTCTTCGCTTCATAATAACTCCCGAACAAAAGAACTTCACAGACCCCGGCTGCTGTTCAGCTGGTTGATGCCTAGCTTTCATTTGATTTCGGCGGCGATTTCTGGTGGCGAGAAGACCACATCGGTTCTTGACTCGTTCTTCGAGATCCAAAAGCTGTCCCTGAAGGCGTTGACTAAACTGGCGAAAAATTGCATCCTGCAGTGCTGCGTCGTTAAATGTGTAGATGAAAGCGAAAGCGCCACCGCACTTCTATTTAGAAGGTAGCACGATTAGCACATCATGTTGAAAAACATCAGGATTTTTTACTCAACAAACAACTTTCTGATCTGCGCAAAGACGACGAGAACTACTATTAACTCTCCTCCAGCAAATCTGCAAACCCGGCTTCCTCTAGGTAGCTGCGTACACTGCGGGCAAGGTTTCCCTTGTAGTTTGTTTTGGCCTCTAAATCCGCCCCCCTATCGAGAAACAGTTTGCAAACCTCCCGTTTCCGGCCTCTGGCGGCCATGAGGAAGGGGGTCTCGTCGGACGTGGACCGTACGTCAATGGCGCTCCTGCCCTGTACCCGGTCGTCCTCTAGAAGTAACCGGACCACTTCCGCGTGCCCCGAAGCGGCGGCGAGGTGCAGCGCCGTGTACATGAAAAATCCCTCGTCCGGCCACAGCGGGTCCGCCACCGTCAGCAGCGCACTCACGTGCTCCACGTTCCCCTTCTGTGCCGCCGCGGCAAGCGCTTTGTGGTCGCGCACGTTTTCCGCCCGGTTCGGGTCCATCTGCGGGTTGGCCGGGGAACTTGTCAGCCCCGCAAAACACCCGTTGCACGCGTTTCCCATCGTGTCGCCGGATCTAATTTATTCGGGCGGCAGGTCTATTACCTTCTTGTCGCCCGATTGTTCACGGGGGTGTTTCTTTATCGCGATGAATTGCTGCAAAAACGGAAAATAGAATCATAACACGAAATGCTTTTTTAGGATAGGATGATTTGGTTTGTACAACGGTGATGCAAGAGCTTTTCTCTATGTCTATTAGTACATTTGTAAAATTTCTTTTCGCAGTTGCCAACGGCTAGTGGTGCTACAAGATGAATTGCAAGGTGCAGATGCCCATAGGTCTGGTGATCTTGGAGTTGATTGAAAATGAGCCTGCAGTGAACATATGCGCATTTACGCGACAACGACAATTTCGTCGAGTCGTTCTTTGTCCACTGAAGAAAAACAAAACATGTAACTGCCAGCACGGATCTGCAAACAGATAGATCGATATATGATATTGAAAACAAAACCACAATATTGACCTACGCCTGCGAAGGATGATCTAAACACGATCTACACCACCCATAGCGACGAGGGATCCACGTAATTTCCTTCGGGGTAAGTAGTACCACACGGACAAGCAAATGTCTGATGTGGTGACTGAACAAAGTACTTCTACCCAGACCTCGCTATCGAATCCATCCTGCGCGCAAAAAAACCTCCGCGAGAGAGACTTGCCGAGCAGAGCTTCGATATCCTCGGCCACTCAATTCACCACTACTGATTCGTTTACGTTTTCGTATTCATCGCATAGTAACATTATTCCCAGAAGAAGAGCTGCGATTCTCAAGTCGCAATTTGCTATGATTTTTCGAAAGAAGAACGGTTTCTGGGCCAGACACTTGACTGCAATTTGCCTGTCGCGCTTGATGTCGATGTAAGAATAAAAGAAGAGAGACCGTGTATGTAAGAACACTCAGAATGCAAATAACCTACTTAGGTTGATCCGCCTACTAGTATCCACGTCACTGAGTTCATTGGGGTACAAAGTTCAAAGGTTCAGCAATCAGGCTAAGCCGGGCACAATCGTCATAGCTGTGCCGGTCATTTCTATCATCTCTCTCTTGATCGATTTCATGGATTCATGCTGATTTGCTTGGATCTTGGCGGTGGATCAGCTGTGATTTGGGTCATTTGATCCCTATGCCTACATTCCCCCACACGGCTAACCAGTGTGCCCCTACATTCCCCCACAAGTGAAGAATGTGGAATCTGGCCCACGGATAGACGCAGAAGACAAAGTAGACTGGGTCACTACCAAACTCACACTTGAACCATTTAGCCAACCAAGACCACACCCCAAAGAATAGGCAGAGCGTTGCGAATGCTTACCCTCTAAGCAACCTCAACTTAAGGAACCTAGCGCAATGGCTACGCCCAAGGACCTCTGAAGCACAAAAACCCCCGAAGCTACTCTGCTAGCTCCTAGAAAGCGGGAAACAACTCGCAATCTACGTGGGAGGAAAACACTCCGAGCACCCTATATCCCATTCCGCAGTCCGGGATGCCCTCAATTCTCGCAGGAGAAGGATCAAGCTAACACAGCAGCCGAATACAGTGCAGCGATTCCATCCTTTTTCTCCGGTAAGGGTTCGCGAGATAGTGCGAAAAAGCACAGAAGAGGACTTGCCATCGGCTTAGTCAGCGGATCAGCTTTGTTCCTGTCCGTTGGAACGTGTGCGATGTTTTCCATATGCTCTTTTACCTCATGCCATCGCAGAAGAAAGTGCTTAGTCTTCTTCGTAGGCAAACTGGATGTCGCTACTTCTATCGCGGACTTGTTGTCAGTAAACAGAATCCCAGGCAGTTCTTGACTTTCATCAAGCCACTCAAGGAAACCCGGGCCCTGCGTTAGTTTCAGCGTATCAAGCAAAGCTATATACTCACTTTCACAGGTGCTGTAGGCCCTCAAGGTTTGACGCTTGGAAGACCAACAAATAGGCATACCACGAAAGTGCAGGATAGAACCACTACTACTTCGCAAGGTCACGGAGCAACCAGCGAAATCAGCATCAGAAAACGCAACAAGGTCCGGCAAAGACTTCTTGGAGCCCTGCGCTTCAAGGACTTTGCGATAAGTTTCCCGAAACTCAGCTTCACGCTGAGGCGTGTAGCACAACCCTTGGCCCTTGGTCTGCAAGAGATAACGGGCAATCCTCTTGGCTGCCGTAATAACGGACGCCGTTGGTTTGTTTTGAGCCCTCGCAACCCGATTTATGGCGAAAACCACATCAGGGCGGCACATCGTTCCGATGTATTGAAGCCCGCCGATCAACTTGCGAAGAGGATACTCAGGCATGAGCTTCCCTTCCTCAAGGTCAGTATACACGCAAGGAGTTGCGAGCGGTCTACCTTCCTGTATGTCAAACTTCTTGGCAAGTTTCACAATAGCTTCCTCTAAATCCAAAGTGAGGCATCGCGCTTCGCGATTGTAAAGCATACGCACACCCAAGATGTCCCGTTCATGAATTGGACCGCGAACGATCGGAAGAATCATCCTGCCGCTGAATCTGTCAAGAATTCGCCTGCAAGCAGCTGCGCACTCTTGTTGATCTGGGCCAGTGATAAAACTATCATCGACATAGATCGCCAAGGTGAGCTTGCCCTTCTTGAACAGACCAGGTTCTTGCGGTGATCGCTTCCAGCCATCACTCAGCAAGTATTTCGAATAGCAGTCATACCACTTTCGAGGTGCACACCGCAGGCCGTAGAGAGATTTTAACAATCTAACACGGTCCCCGCGTGGGTCAGCACTCCAGTGCTGTGGAAGTCTGACGAAAACTCGATCAGAATCCTCAAGGGTCGATCTGATGAAAGCGTTTGAAATATCAAAGCCCTCAACAAATTTCCCCGATGCCGCAGCATCTACAAGCAAGGAACGAGTAGCAGCGTGTGAGACAGTGGGAGAAAAGATCTCAGCTTTCATCACTTTGGTTTGCCTGTTACCAAGCGCAACCAAGCGAGCTCTGTACTTTCCGCACCTCTTACGAGTGTATATCACCACCGAAGGAGCTACCTCATCCTGGTCAGTGAACTCACCATCTTCAAGCGGTCGCCAGCACTTAAGCGCTTCCAGCTGCGTACGCTCTAGCGTATCAGCTTCCAACCACTTGGCGGCATCTGGCCCCTCAAGTGCCTCTTTCCTTGTAACTTGTATTGTCCAACAAACTGCGTCGCCGTCTTTGGTTCTGGACTTTTCTGAAACTGAATAAAAGGACTGAGCCAAATCCCAATCGAGAATTGCCCCCGCACCATTTCCAGCTGCAGCCGCTTCCGGATTTTCATCCTTAGACGGGTCCCCAATGGGCCTAACAATATCCGAAGCGGTTTTGTCCTGCTTGGATTTCCGTCCAGGCTTTCGCCAATATGGACACTTGTCGCGAGTAAGACCTTTCGGGCGCCCGCGCCTGTTTCTCACCTTTATGAGAACTCCACCCTTCTGACGCCATTTGAATGGGTTGAGCTCGTCATCGATAAGATCAGTGCAGTCGGGGCCTTTTCCTGAAGGTCCTGCGGGTTGTTCCGCTTGTTGGTCTTTTGGGCCATCTCCGGCGCCCTGCTGATCAGGCAGGTCCTTTTGACCAGGAGATTTTGGCGAACCATCGCCAGCCGTCTCCGGTGGTAGCAGCTCTTGTTGCTGCTTAGCATCGTCAGCGGCTTTGTCCAGCTTCCGACGCTTTGGCGCTGGCTCGTCGTCTTTCGAAGCCCCCACAGAAACTCCCTCTAGCCTCTCTACGACTCCATCCAACGCAGATCGAAGGGCTAGGCGCCTCCCAACTGCCTCGGCTGGGTCAAGATCAGCAGGAGGTCGGAACTCTGGCGACCCTTCTAACGACTTGCGCAGCGTTGTCACATCCGGCGCGAGAGTATCCTCATCGAACTTTACGGATTTTGACTCGATCACACAAAATCTCTGCCCATCCCGGCAATTGTCATTCTTGTGAAAGACACCGACCAGATACGAGGAGCTTGCACGACTATAGCCGAGAAAAACACCTTTCTCATACCTGTCCGCCAGTTTTGGAACCTTCTGCGGATCGTCGTGGACATGCGTTTTCACGTAGGCCACGCATCCGAAACGCCTGAAGTAATTGCATTCAGCGGCCCGCTGAAGCCTCTTGTAGTAAGGAGCTAGGGCATTGGTCTTGCGCTGCAGCCTGTTCTTGATGTGAGCGACGTAGCGCGCACACCAATCCCAAAGCCGAGGATCTACCCCTTGAAGGTTAGCCCGAAGACCATCCCCAAGAGCCCTATGCCACCGCTCAGCGTTCCCGTTGGTTTGCGGCTCCCGGATGATGCTGTGGCCAGCAACAATACCGAGCTCCCTGCAAGCTGCCCTCCAAGGACCATTCACCCCTTTCAGGACTGGCTCATTGTCGCAGCGCGAGGCTTTTGGCTTGCCTACTTGAGTGCAAAACTTCTTCAACGCTTCACCACACTCATCCTGGGACTTGATGCCGAAAGGCTCCAGCCAATCAGTATAACTGTCTCGGATGGTGATGCAGATCGTACTCCCATCCATGCTAGGCGGTAGCCCGCCGGAGAAGGAGTCCGTCTCGACCTGATCCATCCAATTTTCATGGAGGTACGCGACAGGTCGCTTCTTCCGGTGCGAGTGGCTCCCGTAACTCTTGCTGAGCGCGCACTCAGGACAATGCACCTTGATCCCCTGAGCTCCGAAATGTAATCGCAGCGCAGAACAGCCGAAATTCGTATTGGAAACCAAATTTGCGATAGCATCGCCATCCATCAGGTAAAACCCGACACAAGGCAGCCGCTTCACAATATTGACCCTATGCTTGTACCCGCTGAAATCTTTCAACCATCTCTCATCCTTCGCATGGTAGTAGCTCCCATTCTCCTCCTGGGCGAAAGTCTCCACGGACAGCAAACACACAGTCAGAGAAGGATGATAGAGCCCAGTGCGAATTCCGAGGCTGTTAGGCTTTTAAGAACTCCATACTGGGCCACTTCCTTGCACGGTCCGTCAGCAGTGTTCAGGGTGACCGCTTCGCCCGTGAAACTTTCAAACAAGTCAGGATCTGGGAACATGTTATGACTTGCGCCACTGTCCACAATCAGCCGCAGCTTCTGCAGCTTCTTATGTGACTTCCTGCCCATCACCTTATTGACCATGTGGACGCCTGCACCACTAGGGGCTTCAGCTCCACAAACTTGACTTCGCTTGAACGTCGTGTGCGCGGCCAGGCCGGCAGCAACACGCGGACAAGACGAATCAAGGAAACAATGACCAACCCGGGGCGAGCGTTTCCGCCTACGCCAGGCCAGCACATTACGGGAAAACCTACGACCAGAAACCCGAAGCGGAATCCTCAAGGTTTTCGCCCTGAACTCGACGTCAGTATCTCTAGGTCTACAACACATTACGGGCTGCGTGACATCACCACGCCCCCACAGAGACCACGCGACCAGCAAAGCCAGAAACGTGAAACACACTGCTGCGGGCACAATCGTCACGAAGTCGAGACCGTTCAAAGCTGTCAAATTTGTCAAAGGCTGAACCACGTAACCCGCTAACCCGGGCACGTTCGTCACCGTCAGATCATTGACAATTCTCAAACTGGTGAACGCGAGTTCCCAGAATGGGTCAACAGCTACTACGGGCTGACAGACAGCGAACACACAAAGGAAAAACAAGTAGAAACACGCCCAACCTGTGGGACTTTTCAAAAATCCACTCTCTTCCTTCTTGTTCACATTCATACTTTCATCAGTGTTGCTGCCAGTAGTGTTTTCCTTAACAGGCTCACAGACATCAGCGGACTCGGAAGAAGACATATCATCGTCGTCATTCTTTCCCCAGCCGAAGTCTTTGGAGGATCCGACGCCAACGAAGTGAGTCTCCTCACCGTCATCATCACCTTCTTCCTGCTTCTTCTTATTCTTCTTGTTATTCACCTTTCCGCTACCTTTGGAAGCCGGGCGCAAGTGCGGGTGCTTGACCCAACACTTTTCAACCGGATGACCAGGGCGACGGCAGTGCGAGCAACGGACGGGGGTAGGCTTGCCGCCTTTCTTTTTGACCTCCACCTTCAACGCCTTGACCTGGCTCTGCAGGGATTTAATCTGCTGAGCCTGGGCAGCATTCGCAATAGGCTCTTCCTTCTTTCCATTCCCCGCAGCACGCTCGTACTCCCGAAGGACATCGATCAGCGACTGAACATCGGTGGACTGCTTGACGTTAGCCAAGATGGAGGAAGTAACCGGAGCGAAGGAGGGCAGCACACCCATCAGAATGGCTCCGATAGTCAGCTCGTCAATAGTGATTCTCGATTCCAATTGCTCACGAATAGCCTTGGTTTTCTTAGCGATGAAAGATCCAACGCCCTCTCCCGGCTTCTGCTTTTGCGACAGCAGTTGCTCTAACCAGTACAAGCGGGAGGAAGTACGCTGCGAAGCGTATTTCTTGTACAGAGCGTCAAGGATCGCGAACAGATGACGCGCATCCGCACCGGTCAACTCACGAACACACTCGTGAGCTTCACCATCCAACGAGGCGACAATGGCAGCGGAAAGCTTACGCCCTCGCGCTTCGTGGTAATCACCATGCTGGTTGATCTGATTAATGGCGAAGGCCGGATCGTTCGAGCGATACCCGTCGAAGAAGTCCTTGAAGGTCAGGCTAGTAGTGGAGGTAGCACCACCCTGGTAACCATCCCAATCAGGCTTCGACTCCAGGATCATCTCGAGATCGAAGGACCACTTAGACCAGTCAGACTGAGTCTTAAGGGTCGGGATTTTCCATTTCCCATCTGCTTTGGCCATTTTGTGTTGTGTGTGGAAGTTATGCGCAAACACAGAAACTACTCGAGTAAGGATAAATGTGCAGAGGTGTAAAACCTAGCTAGCTCTTTGGCTCAAGATTGTAAGAACGCTCAGAATGCAAAAAACTTACTTAGGTTGATCCGCCTACTAGTATCCACGTCACTGAGTTCATTGGGGTACAAAGTTCAAAGGTTCAGCAATCAGGCTAAGCCGGGCACAATCGTCATAGCTGTGCCGGTCATTTCTATCATCTCTCTCTTGATCGATTTCATGGATTCATGCTGATTTGCTTGGATCTTGGCGGTGGATCAACTGTGATTTGGGTCATTTGATCCCTATGCCTACAGTGTACCAAATTCATTTACACAGTACGTGACGGCTCGTTTAAGATGAAAAGGGGCAAGAACGTCTTTCGCGATGCTGACGTCCAAGGGAAAAAGAAAGACGTCAGCTACGATATGCCATGCGTGATCTCTATATGTGGGCACTTCTTCATAGTCAAGTTTTGCTTTTGATTCAGCATTTTCACCAAAGAAGAAAGATCAATATGATGTCGCCTAAAAATGCAGAGGCAAAAATGATCCCGCTGTGTTAGTATGTGTTGCCAAACACAAGTAATTTTTTTCCCTGTTGTTCATCCACTCTGCCAAGATCTATCGCTGCAGACGCCTCTTAAGCGGAGATGATGGATCTTCACATTCCCATGCCCATTCCTCCCATACCGCCGCCCATGCCGCCGGCCATTCCGGCATCCTCTTTCTTATCCGGAAGGTCTGTGATGATAACCTCGCTCGTGGTCAGGAGTGACGCCACGCTCGCTGCGTCAACCAACGCCGTCTTTGTTACTTTTGCCGCGTCAATGATGCCCGACTTCAACATGTCCACATACTCCTCTGTCTGGGCGTTGTACCTTTGAATGTGATATTTTTATCAAATTGCATTCACAAAAAAGCGTGTGTCGCGCCTGCATGCAGAGAGAGAGAAGGTGCTTGGTAAAAGCGATCGCATCCTTGCCTCGGTGACAGACTTTATTCTAGGTTACTATTTACTGCATAGTTAGAAGATGAATCAAAAAGCGTGATCTTGTTCCAGAAGATCTTCTCTTCTGCAAGTAAACACTTATTTACCCAAGCTTTTCGTTCTCCTGCCCCAGGAGTTTTTCCACAACGACGGCGCCCTCTTTGCCCGCGTTTTTCACGATCGTATTGCAGGGCTGCTGCAGCGCCCGGCGCACCAGACCGACCCCGTGGTTTTGGTCAAAATTTTCGATTTCCTTCTCCAGGGCCACCAACACGCGGGACGCGTACAGGAGCGCGGCGCCGCCACCGGGAACAATGCCTGCGGAGAAATCATTTTCTAATTGTATGCCATTACTTCCCAAGACATAAATTCAAATTTGATTTTGAGAAGTAAACCATAACAAAGGAAGAAGTAGACAACAGCAAACGAAATGTCGATTTTACCTTCCTCCACGGCGCATTTCGTGGCGCAGAGGGCGTCGTTGAGTCTGTCCTTGATTTCGCCGACTTCGACCTCCGAAGCCCCACCAACCTTGATCACCGCGACGCCGCCCGTCAGCTTGGCCAATCGCTCCTTCAACTTGTCTTTTTCGTACTCCGAGGTAGTTTCTTCAATCGCGCCCCGTATCTGCTCGCACCGCTGGTCCAACTCAGACTTGGTTACTTTACCTTGTGGGGGGGTGAGATGTTCAATTTTTTATTCACAACGAGAACGACTTTCGTGCTGGAGCACAATAAACCTGTCATGACAGAGTGAAAAGCAACTGGAAAAGAGTGATCAACATCAAGTGTCGGAGTAAATAAAAGTATTTGTTCTTGGCGCGAACAAAGTGGCGAAATCACTTACAACAGAAGCCTTACCGTCCAGGATGGTAGTGTCGTCTTTTGTGATGGAAACGGACTTGCAGCTTCCGAGGTGTTCTAGCGTAAGGTCTTCCAACTTTTCCCCAGCGTCTTCGCTGACCAGCTTGGCGCCGGTCAGGATGGCCAAGTCCTGCAGCTTATCCTCAGGAAAAACGTCTCCACCATTCTTCATGCCTGTCTGCGAGCCTCGAATGTTTCTCATGCGCAGTCCCACAAGGAGCACTTTCCAATGCTATTTGGGAGTCTGTCATGCTAGACTCACCACAGGATGGTCAATTATGCTGATACGCCCGCACTACCTAAACATCGGATTATTTATTCCCCTGCGACGAGCCAAAGCTTGTCATGCGTGACTCCCAAAACTGTTGATAATTTGTCTTGCGAAATCCCCTCCATCTTGACTCCAAGGTGGGAACGTTTTTCCTCAGAATACAGCTGCGCTTTTCGGTTGTCCCCGAACCCGGGGGCCTTTACGGCGCAGACGTTAAAGCTGCCCCGAAGCTTGTTCAGAACGAGAGTAGACAGCGCCTCGCCGTCTATGTCTTCCGCAATAATCAATAGCGGCTTGCGCGATTGTACTACCTGGTGTGGAGAATTATATCGAGAATGGACATTCGGCGGATGAACTACGCGGAGTTATTGATGGTTCGTCGCATGAAGAAATTGCTTCTTTTTCATTTTTCATCGGGCCAAACTAAGTAATCAAAAAGCAGAAAAATAAAGCATTGAGTAGAAGATGCGTGAACAAAAATTCACGTTGACTTTAGAAAAAAGCCCAGAAAATTTCCTCCTACCTTTTCAAGCACCGGGAGCAGATTCTGGATGGAGGAGATTTTTTTCTCGTAGATCAGCACCAAGGGATCTTCCATCTCCACCTTCTGCGTTTTCGTGTTGGTGATGAAGTAGGGGTATCAACTGTAAAAATGTCTGGGTCTGGAAGATTCTGACACTTGTCATGCACGTTTTGCATGAGCCATGATGTCTGTGATCCATACCCTAGCAATACAGATTTTTTGAACGCTTCTTCATGCCTATTCCGCATGACAAATGCCTTCTCAGCGTAGCAAAACTTGCATTCCCTTTGGTACTCATGCAATACAGATTTTTTTGGAATCCAAACGCAGCATCACAAGTTGCATTCTTCCAGACCCAGACATTTTTACATTTAATAAGGGGGAAATGAATCCCCGGTCAAACTTGCACCCGTCCACCACGTCCAGTTCGTGTTTTAGCGTTTTTCCCTCTTTTACCGTAATAGTTCCGTCCTTCCCAACCTTTTCGAACGCCCGTGCGATCAGGTCGCCGATCTCGTGGTCCGAATTAGAGGCGATGGTGGCGACCTGGAAAAATAAAAACGCGGTTGGGAAACAAAGGATCCACGGCGAAAATAGTCTAGAGCTCTCAAAATTGCGCAAGAGCTACAGCATGCACAAGAAGTATTTGATGTACTTAATATCGGTTATTTAGCAGAAACCGATCGCAGCGATTTCCTCTTCAGTTGAGAAAACTACACATCACTCTCGTCGGCACAACAGGGCCGCTGACCACCGTAGTTGTACCTGCCGAATTTCTTCGGGTCCGTCGATTGGTTTCGCCATGCGCGCAATTTCGTCCAGCACCGCCTTGACGGCCCGGTCGATGCCCCGCTTCAGATCCATCGGATTCATGCCCGCGGCCACCGCCTTGCAGTATCCCACAGAAAAAAGCTGGCAGGGCATATTTTTTGTGATGCAAAACAAAATACACAGAAAAACTTGTCATGGGCGGCCCCATAGCATGCTGCTTCGGATATGCAATGCGTGTGCTTATTTTTGCATTACAAATATGACCTGCCAGCTTTTTTCTCTGGGATATGCAGCCCTCCTTGAAAATGGCCCGCCCGAGCACCGTAGCCGTGGTCGTCCCGTCGCCCGCCATGTCGTTGGTCTTGCTTGCCATATCAAATGCAAATACGTCTGGGTCTGGAAGAGTGCAGATTTTTGTCATGCTGTTTTTGCATGATCCAGAAAGTCTGGCATGGAAGCCCTAGCGTCACAGGTTTCGAGAAGGTTCCGCAATGCCTAATCCGTATCAGAAGTCTCCCATTTTGGTGACACGAAATGGGCATCCTTTGCTGCCTATGCATGACAGATTTGTGTGCGTTATGAAATGCGCATCACAAGTTCGAAACCTTCCAGATCCAGACATATTTGCAGTGCATATGCCACTTCCTTCGCTAACTTGACGCCCGCGTTCTTCAGCTTGTCCGAAAGCTCGATGGCCTTCGCGACAGTTACCTACGAAAAAGGGTAGCAAGCGAAACAGCGTAGTAGTTGTACTTGAAAATATTAATGTAATCAGGCGCCTGACGCGGGAAAAAAACACTCACAATTCTTGGAGATGAAGAAACAAAGCGTAAATTTTCAGCCTCAACCAAAATTCAAACATTAACATATGCACAATATCGGGAGCATAAAAATGCAGGTTGACATACTATTTTCTGCAAATCGGAAAAATCTTACCCCATCCTTGGTCACTTTCGGTGGCCCAAAAGACTGCTCAATGACAACGTTGCGTCCCTTCGGTCCCAGCGTTGCTGCAACCGCATCCGCCAGCACGTCCCAGCCTTCGAGCATGGCGGCGCGCGCGCTGACCCCATGCTTAATGTCCTTCGCAGTGGCGAAGGCACGGGCGGAGGTGCTGCTGCGGGACACCGAGCGAGAGCTGGACCGGGCTAATTTGGAAAGCATTTTGTCGTCTGTGGCGAAAAGTATGTACGAAGAAAAACAAAAATTCTCGTCGCGTTGTATTTATAGACCTGAATGTTCGCGTCAGTTGCTCTTGTACCAATCGGTGAACGTGGTAGCTAGAAAAATGTTTCTACTACACAACAGAGATCTACTAGTTGAGACTATGTCTACTTTTTCGCCGTTGTGTTTCAAGTAGATGTGGTTTCTCACCCTGCTTAAACAATATCAAATGATCAAAAGCAACATGGTGGGCGATTCCTCCTACTGCTACTTCCGTACTGAAATAGTACTTTTTGCAAAATAAGCCAAAAAAGCGCAAAACCGCCACGAGAGGAAGCAAAAAATGTTGTCACGCCGCGCCAGATCGCATCGCAGTGTTGATCTTTGTCTTTTTTCGCGCAGAGCAAACCAGCAGCCCTTGTTCATCGAATTTAGCTTTTTCCAGTATTCAAAATTGTAGCGCATCAAGTCCGACACCGAGAGGGAGACAGTAGGAGATCGTGGTTCAGATCGCGGCGATTGCGTTTGCGAAAGCAATAAACACAGCATACAGAGAGCGTTCGTATATGTTCTGTACAACAGAAGAAACGGACGCCTCTTCCCGGTTCCGCGCACACAGCCGTCACCGCAATTATGCAGCCGATTCATTTTCATTTGCATGTTCTCAAGAAGATCCCAGCATAATAAAAAGAAGAACGACGGTCGTAACGCAAGCGACTCCCGACCGCAAGAAGGTTTTTCATCGGGAGATATTTTTGAGTACTAAAAATCAGTACTCTTTTGAATATAAACGGTCTGAAACTCCTTACCAGGTTTCATCTTTAGGTGTCAGTACTTATCCGCCCCGGAGGATGTTGTTGCGTCACATCAGTTTGGATGCGACATTGATGCTGCGCCTGCGGTGCAGCAGCGACGAGTCGTCCTCCCGAAATCATGATATTAAACCGCTTCATTGTGTAGAAGATTGCCCCGAGTTGAGTTTGCTGTAGACGTCGTTGTTGTGCATTTTGTTCTGGTCAGAAATCCATGAGGGAATTCGTCGTGTCGCCGTTAGTGCGCGAGAAAATGAACGCGCCGATGAAACAAGATGACGCGACCTTATCAAGCGGCAGCGGAAGCTTCTTCAGCCATGACCCCCACGATGTCGTCATCCCGGAACAACTTGTACTCTTCGGAATCAAACTTGATGGTCATGCCGCCGTACTCCGGGATAATCACCGTGTCCCCAATTTTCACGCTCATCGGCAAAATCTTGTCGTCGGCTCCGAGTCGCCCCTTACCCACGGAAATCACCTGTTGTTCTTTTTCTTGTTTGAAAACGAAAGAAGCAAATGCAGCAAACGTGAACAAAAACCTCCTTTACAGTGATTAAAGAGACAGAGCCGCTTTTTGAAATCACGAATGAAGTAAAAAAAAATCATGAATGATGAGCGTGTAGTACCTTTGCTTGGTTGATAGACTGCTTGGCTGCTTCCGGAAGGTAGATGCCCGTGGCTGTCTTTGCTTCCGCTTTGAAGGCTTGAACCAAAACTCGGTCCGCCAAAGGAAGAAATCGCTTCACTGCCGAGGCCGACATTTTTTTCAGAGCCTGTCTTTCAGTACAACGAATAGGAAAGTATACTAGACTCGAGACGAGGTCAGAATACCAACGAGGATCTTCACTTGTATACAACAATTCTGTGGATGTTGTACCGATGCGGAGCTGTCAACGCAATTCTTATTTTTGATTCAGATGAATTATTCCAATTCACAACGGCTATGGACACCAAAAATGCCTTCACAGGTACGAAGTGTTGATCGACGGTCTAGATTATATGCCTCGACGGATCAAATACGGGCTTGTTTGCTGCTGCTGCGAAAGTACCAAAGTAACATCGATCTTGTGTGCGCAATGAAAAAAGCAGACACTGGATCTTCACCTTTTCGTATGCCGCCGTGCTATGGATCGAACCTGAATGGCTTGTCTCAATAGACCTCGAAAAAAGTCTTGTTCAATAGCCATGCCGTTCTATGTGCAACCGATACAACATCAATGATTCTTGTGTTGTCGAACACGTGAACAAAAGTGCTTTATTTCCACTACAGGAGTTCGGAATACAACCGTTTTACTGCGTTATCAAAAGAGATACCCCTACCCGGTCCATCTTACAGCTGCGAGCTTCGGTTTTTCTTCTGAAACGGAATCCACACAATCCTACAGATTTTCGGTACTGAAACGGAATATTACCGACGTGAAATCCAATAGAGAACGTCTATTCATAAAAACACAACGTCATAGGCCCCGGCGGCGTACTCTTGTGGCTGCGTGACAGTTTCCGGCGGCCACCTCTCGTAGAGCTTTAGTCTTTTCGCAAAGTTCACCGGCTCCAGCGGTCCCCCGGGGAAGAGCCGCTGTGAAGAACTTTGGTCTGCCGAAGCAGGAAGTGCGGTCTGCGCGTCTCGGAAGGCTTGCAGTCCCGGCGACCCCGGGCCGCAGCGCGCTTTCGCCTGGTCGGCCTTCGGAAACCAGTAGGTGAAAGCCCGCGACATTTGCACTTTTCCGCGACGGTACAGCGGCCGCATCTCCCCCGGCGCCCCGAGCCGAACGCACGCTTTGGGCTCCACTTGCTTCTTGCTCGGCCCCTCCTGAACGAAGCTCTCGAATTTGCTAGCCTGCACACACAGCCCGTCCACGAAGTTGCAGGGCACCTGCGTCCCGGCCAAGGGGTCCCCGCACCCCCGCAGCTTGGCTTCGGTCGGGTACCTCGTTTCCAGGCACGCCAACCGCTCCTGCACGGACTTCGCGTCTTCAACCGCGGCGGCGTGGGCCGCGGCGGCTTTCTCGGCGGTTTCCTGCTCGTTGTCGAAATAGGACTTGATGTTTGCCAGCATGCTTTTGTCGGGCGTCTTTTTCATCGAGGCCCGTATCGACTCCGACGCGGACAATGGCACCGTAGCCGACACGTGCTCGCAATCAAGCACCGGACGCAAATCCGCGCCCCCGGGACCGCCGACCGCGGACTCGTTGGCCTCGTTCACCGCCCGGCTCCACTCGTAAGGACGGCTGTCCCGGAAAAAGCCGGAGAAGAAACCCGACTTGCTGGACCGCAGACAGCACCGGTACCACATATCGGGGTTCTCGTGCACGAGCAATAGCCGGTTTCCCTGGCAGGTTTGCGGCGTGAAGTTTTTCCGTTCGCTCTTCGTGAAGGACTTGTTTTCCCGGAAGAAGTCGCGGAACCAGGCGCAAAAGGGCCGGTGGTTTAGCCCGTACGCGTCCTTTTTGTCTTCCTGGTCTTCGTCCTGCACGTTCCACCCAAAGAAGGACTCCCGCGCGGTCTTGCGCACCTCGCGGCCGGTGTTTATCGGCTGCAAAATACCGTCGGCCGCGGTGGGCGCCAGGTGCTGGAACCGCTTTTCCTCCTCCTCCGCCTGCTGTGTTTCGTCGAAGGGCGTCTTTTTCGAGGTGCTCACGGTCGCGGAGGCCGGGAGCGTGCTGCAGTCCAGGTAGAACGAAGTTCTTGCGTAAAAATTCGAAGCCAGGGCGGGGTGCAGCACTCCGCGGTGTCTTTTTCTACTGCCACCGACGAGATTCGTCACTTTGTTCGCGCTCTTGGTTCCTTGCTGCGAGAGGACCGCAGGTCCAGAAGGCGCTGCTCCTGCTTCATGATCCTTAGTGTCGGCAAAACCTACTTCGTTGAAATTTTTTCCACGCGCAGGAGCACTACCAGCGACTTGCAGAAAAGCAGACTTCATGCGAACCTCAGCGTCGAACGCAGAAACAACGCCTTCCCCACCGCGCCCCTGCTCCAAAAAAGGGTCCTTGTGATCCAACCACCCTCTCTCCACCAAAACGTCGTGTCGCAGAACCGGACGGGAAACCTCCCGCGGCGCGAAGGGTGTGGGCGGCAGGTCCGGGTAGAAGCCGGCGTTTGCGGTATCCACTTGGTACTCCGTATTGGGGCTACACGCGTATTGCCCGCCCAGCCCTTTCGCGGCGGACGCCTGCGACCCGTTTGCTTTCCGTTCCCCCTCCAAAAAGTTCTGGAGCCACTGGGAATTCCGCAGGTAGTTGGGGTTGTGGCCGAGCCGCACGACAAACTTCCGCTTCGTCCCGGGCGTTTCGAACGCCAGGTCCTCACTTTCCCACGGCTCGCGCAGGATGCCCTGGTCGAAAGCGGGGTCGAGAAATCCCGGCTTGAGTCGCGGGCCGTCGAGAATTTCGAGCGTGTGTTATTGAAAGGAAAAATACCCCCTCACCAGATCAAAACGAAACTTCTGATGCTGGATCCGGATACACAAATCAGATTTGTGTTGCAGTAGAGAACTGCACGCAGATCCTAAGCCTAGGCCGGGGCCTTGTCTTGTAGGCGCCTAGCATGGTAGACGGCTACCCTGTAGGCCTTACAGCATTACAAATCGCCTGCATAACGTGGTGGACAGCGTGAATGCGCCTGCTTGCAAGACAGACCCGATTGGTGGTCCCAAATCTGCATCACAAATGCTCAGAAGGATGCGCTTTCAATATGGGGAGGGGGGATTTTTCCTCGCAATATGCGTGGATCCACGCTGACGTCCTCCACCTCCAAATCGTCCACGACGCACCGCCCCTTGCTCTCCTCCGCGGCCTGCTGCAATGCCGGACGCAGGCTTGCGGTCGGGCAACTGGACAAGTTCAGGCACGGTTCGGCCACGGTATTTACCTCGTGGCCCTCTGCAGCAGAATTTATTTGCCCTACGGGGGTTTGTTCCTCTTGCTGCACGTCCACACAACCGCGCTGCACCGCGCGGCGCTCCGCATCCCGGCAGACGCTGGACTCGACGACGAGAGCACCCCCGTCCCGGATCCGGGTCTGCAATCCTCCGGAAGCTTGGTCGTTGTTCTTCGCGCTGGAGGTCGTGTCCCGGGCCAGAGGGACTCGCAAGTAGACTTCGCGGTCGTGGCGGAAGGGCGGTCCGACTATTGTAACGAAAGATCCCCCCTCCCCATATTGAAAGCGCATCCTTCCGAAAATTTCTGATGCAGATTTGTGGCCACAAATCCTGTCTGTCGTGCAAGAACGCAAAGCCAGAGAGTCCGCCTCTTTATGCAGGCGGTTTGTGATGCTGCTAGGCTTACAGCATAGACGTTTGTCATGCTAGTCGCCTACGTCAACGCCTTCCGCTTCAGGCTTGGCATATGCCTACAGTCCTCTCCAGCAATACAGATCTGATTTGTGTACGCAAATCCAGCATCACAAGTTTCCTTTTCGATATGGGGAGGGGGGATTTTTCCTTTTGATACCGACGAACACCGTCTCGACCGGCCGGGACCCCGAGGTGTTCGGCGGTTGCAGCTCCGTGCAGTGCCACCGGTAAGTGGATGGCCTGGCTTCCGTCCGCATCCGCCGCAGCACCTCCTTCTTCTTGCGTCGCTCGACCGTGCACCGCATCTTGCGATCCTTCCCCTCCGGGCCTTCCCAGGTTTGCGCTGCATTTTTCGAACTGCTATTTTCGGCGGGACCACCAGGGGGACCGTTCATTTTGGCTCCACGCGTTGGGTCCACGGCAGCATCCACCGGCTTTTTCGTCGCATGGTACCGCCCGGAAAACGGTTTTTCTGCATCATGGGTGAAATTTAAGTATCGCACGGACGGATCGTCTCGGACCAGGGGGCCAACATCGTTCGCATTGTTGTTGGCGTCTTCCGAGACCTCCGGAGCTTTGTCGTTCGCGTCCGCAAAACTGGTCTTCGAATGGCCGCCAAGAAAATGCAGCTTTGTGCTAGCGGCGGAGGCGGTCGCCCTCGGAGAACTGAAATTGCAACTCTCGAGCAGCTGCTGCAGCCAACTTTCACGCTCGGATGCCCACATATTTCGATCGTGTGACAGATGATCTTTATTTTTTCGTGGAGGGCGGCAGCACCAGCAGAACCACTCGTCGAGTCCACCGCATGAACGTGCACTTGCAATTTTTGTTCGTCGGTATCGAAAATATTGCGTCGATCCGACGTCCCTACAAATTTTACTTTTGCCTGCTTCCAAAGCAGACAAGCAGGAAGATCGAGCGAGATGCAAGAAGCGATCGAGATCTTCTTCGAAGCGAGGCGAGTTGTGACGAACAAACAGACCTTCGTACTATCGAGCAGCAAAAGCTGCACAGCTTTCGAAGTTCGATTTCTCTGCATCGAACGTCTCCGAGCAGCATCAACCTCTATCCGCGTTTTCGAAAGTAAGTATAATTGCGCAACGTGGATGGACAAATCTTGGCTGAGAAATAATCGATCTGGCTAAGGGGAGTTCTCCTTGTCTGTGTTCTCAAATTTGATAAAAAACCTCTGTACAACGAACCTTGACGAGTGCTACGTGTTTCGATCTCTCTGAATAAATTCCTCTGGTGCTTGCGAAATAAATCGGTTTTGTTTTACGCTCAACTTTCGGATTACAGAAAAGCAGGCGTAAAACCTAATATTCTGAAAAGCAGACGTATTTTGAAAAGTTTCGCAGTAGGTTGCAGGACCCATGTCTCCTGCGGGTCTAATCACTTATTCTCGGTAAAACTTGCTGAATAAAGTAAACGTCTCTTACTTAGAAAAACATTCTCTAAACAAAGTATCAGGACCAGGTACAAAACAGAAACGCGATAAACTTGAGATATCCTTTCATTCAGCAGGTTTTGTTGAAACACATCTTCATTGCGAGGCGGACCGCCCCTCGTGACAACGTTCATGATGCGAGCGACGTCTGCGTTTACTCCATCGCTGCGTCGTCTGGCGTATCCAGTGCCTTCTCGATGAGGTCCAGCGTCGCCAGGGTTTCCTTTGCCCGGACCTTGGCAAGCATGCTGAGCGGACTCTTTTCCCCGGCCCACACCAGCTCCGAACCATCATCCTTTTGCGGCCCACACTCACCACCTAGAAGGTCGTTTTGTCGAATCGATAGAAGTTTCATCACTTCTCCAAAAGTAAGTAAGCGGCGTACGTGAACAAAACAGCAAGTGCCCAGGGGGCGAAACAAGTAAATTGATCGAATGAGAAGAATTGTACCCAACACCACACGAAGTGCAAAATCAAAATGCAAGTAAAAAACCGGTGATCTATCATCCTAATACCATTCTCATCGCAGCCCAGGGCGCAAGTGTCCACTGGATACAAATCCTGCTGCAGCGTGTAGAAGTTGTGCTCGCCGTCCGCGGCCTTCGTCGGGGCGGTCCCGCACGCCCAAAACCTGCGCCAGCTGCGGCGCAGGCAGGAGAGCTTGGTGCGGTCCGAACAGCCGTCCAGCATTTTTTGCAGTTCCTCCTCCTGGTCCGGCGTTAGGTGCTCCCACGGGTTGCTGCTGCTGTCGGAATCTGAGTCGGCCTCGTCCAACTCCTGCTGGCACTCTTGCAGGTACTCTCCCACGGCGCGGCTCCGCAACTCGTCGATCAGCGCTAGCTGAAAGTAGAACTCTTCCTGCACCTATATTTTTTTTTTTCGCGGGGGGGGAGATATGATCCACATTTTCTTCTGCTACATTGACCAGTGGAATCTTCACATTCTCGGACATAGAAGTAGCCCTACGTTCACCTTGTTCACGTAGTAGACCTACTATGCTAGGCCGTTCGGAGGTTTGGGGTTATGCACTAATACGCAAGAAAAAGAATAAGTTCCTCAAATAAAAAGTCTGCAAGAATTAAGAAGATATGAATATATACTTCTCCACTGAGGCGGGTCTGCAGCGCGAGCGCGTGCTGCACGCGGCGACGGTACGCCCGCATCTTCGTGCTATGACCTCCTCAAATCGGTTACCATCTCAAACGTGACAATAGATAATCTGGGATTTGTGTTGCATGATGAGCATGAGAGACTCGCAGAGCGTTCCGCTTTCTGCAATACAAATTTCGCCAGATAATTCTAGTGCGGTTCGGAGCTCCGAAACTTGTCATGCGCAATCCTATGAGAGTTTCGGCTAGATAATGCACTTCTTGCAACACAAACTCCAGATCATTCTATTGCAACGTTTGAGATTGTAACACCTGAGCAGGTTATACGTGCGGAGTTCCGTTTTTGTGTGCTCCCCCAGCGATTTGAACCAGGACTCGCGACTGGGGTCCAGCCCTTGTCCGCTGAACTCGTTGGGAATCCAGTTGCCCTTCGCGTCCTTGTGCGGGAAGCCCTTGGCGGCGGCGGCGTAGGCGGCAATGCCCGCCTGCAGCGGCTGTGTGGAGGGCATGGCGGGCACGGAGGACTGCGTCGAAGCCATGAAGGACGAGGCGGCGTCCGGTGCCGGAAACGACTTTTCAAACAACTCCGCCATGCTCTGCTGTACCTGGGTGTGCAGTTGAGTTTTGTCTATGATCAACTGGAACAACATCATCATTTCTTTATTTATCCTATGATCAACTGGAACAACATCATTTCCTCGTAGGGTAGTGCACGAAAAAGTTTTGGGATCGAGACCGAGGTTCATCCGCTGGCTATATCTACTAGTAGTACTATCAAGTCGATAGTAAAAAGAAAAAACTAAACCCGACCTATACCGTAATGTCGTTCGCTCCGTCATCGTACAGGCCGTACCGCTCCCCCCGGGCGATCCACTCGACGTTGTTGCGCCACTTTCGCAGATTGTCACGCACTATCAAATGTAAAAGTGTCTGGGTCTGGAAACTTGTGATGCTAGGGGGCGTCTCATAATAAGGCTACAAATGCTGGCTCAGCATGACAAGTTTGAGTTTCTGAGCTCCTCGGTGTTGCCTATTCTGCATGACAATCTGCGCTTCTGCATCACAGAAAAACGGAGCTCTTGGGTAACGTGCATGACAGATTTAAGAGTCATGCCAGACAAGCATGACAAACATGAATTCTTCCAGACCCAGACATTTTTGCATTTGATACGCACGACCTTCAGTTCCCCCACCTTCGCTTCGAGCTCGCCGTACTTTCTATTATGCATTGCAAATATGTCTGGGGCTGGAAACTTGTTATGCTGAATGGCCATGATTGAGTGTGACTTTAAGTGCGGCGCAGCATGACAAAATTTTCAAACGTTCTGTCATGCGCAGGACGCATTACAAACTGCGTTCTTACATGACGAAAGTGTGGTACTCGTGCTTTATTTGCTGCTTATGCAATACAGATTTTGTAGGAATGCGAAACACGCAATACAGGTTCAACCTTACCAGACCCTAACATATTTGCATTTGATATCTCTTCAGCGTCTGCAACTTCGGCGTGCCCCACGTGTTCTGGGTTGAAAGTTTTCGACGTATACGTGTTTTTACTGTCTCAAGGTTTCCGATATCGTACCAGACATAACAACACACAGGTTATGGTTACAGAGACGGAATCAGTCCAAAGAAAACAAAAGATCAGATAACCATAAAGATAACCCCATCACTGTACTCGTCGACGCAAGATAAATACGTTACCTCTGACATCATGCAAAAAGAGTTGAAACAACATCAAATCGAAAGATAGAAAAAACAAGCGCAATAAAGAATCCCGCACAGGTCCTACAACCAGCTTACCCACATGTCGCCGAGCCAGAAGACGAAATAGAAGGGGATGGAGAACCCGAGGTTGATTAGCGACCCGACTACAGGCTTCTCTTGCAGCTCCGGCTCCACAAGCGACGCCATAATGTGTCCCAACGCCAGGGTGCTCATAGTGGCCACGATCTTCCCGTTCATGATGTCGTTTCGCAAGAACGCTCCAATCCGTCGCACTTTCTCCCTACATTTTTTTCACATCAGCTACTTGTAGGCCCGAACAGAGACGAGAGTGGGTGGAGGTGCAGCCGCAGTGTCCGTAGATGGACGAGTATCATCAAACAAAACGTGCATGAAAAAAAATTCAATGCGCCCCTGAAGATTCTGGTCGTGGTTGTAAAATATCTAGAGTAAAATCAAGAACAAAACCTATACCTGGCAGATACTCCGATGTAGGCGTCGCGAGTCGATTCCTCCAAGCTAAACCTCAGTGCCGCCATGGAGAGGTCGCCGGACCTTCTGCGCACGTGAGCCATGGCACCACATTGCTGCGTGTTCGGCGCGACTGGGTTTGCGCTGGTGCTGGATGCTGCGTTCCCTTGTTGCCCGTCGCCTGTGTAGCTCATCACGGTGGTATATTCGCTCTGCTGCGGGGCCAACTGCTGGTGGCTCGTCAATGCGGCGGTCTCAGAGGAAGTGGGCGACGCGCTCCCGGCCGCTGCAGCATTGTTCCGTCGCCGCCGCCGGAGTGGTCCAGACGCGTTGCCGGTTTCCAGATCCCCGGCAGCTTCCGCCTCCGGAGCGTTTTTCGGTTTCTTGCGGAGCTGATCGCGGTAGTGGTCGACGAGGCTGGCCAGGTCGTGGTCCTCTGCCTCGGGAAGCAAGGTCTGCGGCGCCACCACGGTACTAGGTTGACTCAAAAAGGGCTGCGCCGCTCCGGGCAACGCGCTCGGCGCAAGGAGTTGCGAACCTTGTCCCGTCGTGGTGGACACTGCAATTGGCAGCTTACCGCGCGGAATCGCCACGGCGCCGGAGGACAAAGAGGCGCCGCCGGGCACTTGGCGGATCAGCGTTCGCACGCCTGTTGCGGTGTCGCTGCTAGAACTCGCGGCGGCTTGTGGCAGCTGCATCGCGGCTGCTGAACCTTGTAGCTCGCCACCTTCTTGCAGGAGCAACGGCCGTTGCAGGCCGTCCGCTGCTCCACCCGGCATGGGCGGCTGATCTGTTCCGGCATTCGCTGCGTACGCGCTCCGTTTCTTGTGTTTATAGCCCCAGACAAACGAGGCTGAGGAAACCACCGCGGAGAGTCCTCCGAAGAAGAAACTGTGACGCAACATCTTCACCGCTGGTTGTGGAGGTGCTGTCTTATTGTATTTTGCTGCAACGTCTTTCTCTTTACTAACTGTAACTCCTAACTGCAGTAATGTGGTAAATTGTCGAGGGACGAACAAGACATCAAGACAACTTCACTACCCGACACGGCTGCAACACCGCAGAGAAAAATGATCCAGTGAACAAGGACCTTGCTAACGCTGTCAGAACGACGTGCTCGAAGATCTATGCAGAGATGAACGGTTTTGATTTTTGCTTTGACAAAGCTGCTTTCAGCAGTGAAAAGACGCAGTGGGCATTACTTCTGAATCGGAAAAAAAACAGCCGCTATGATCTTGCTCCTGCCTCGGAAACGAAGGCGATGTGCGATTGAAAGAAAGCAGAGGTCGGCAAAAAAACATAACGCGGCTGGATCATTTTCTTCTGCCGTTGACTGCGGGCCAAAAACATCTCTGGTCTTGCGTGGTCGGGCTTCACTGCAAACGCGCAGCAACCTTGTCGAGTCGGTAAAAACTGTGTCGATTCTTTGCAGCTAGCAGAGCCGAGAAATTCATCAATAAAAGATCTTGTCATTTTGTTTTCCCTTTTTTTCTTGGCTTTGACGCCGGCAAAAGAACCGGAAAATAGAAGAGCCGGAAAATATCTGCTGTTTCATTTTCTTTTCGGTATTAGAGGGCCGGAATAGTAAATATCCTTGGGGCTCGCACCGCCGTGGAGAAGGCACAACGGCGCGGGATATTATTGTTCCACATATCTCTCTATTACGTTTGGAAGAACAGTATCAGTAAAGAACAATAGTATTTGTTAATAAGTAGTCGAGATGTTGAGAGCAGTTCTTTTTTCGCAGTTTAAAAACAAGGTGACGCAGGAGATTTTCGTCAACTCAGTCCTCCTGCCTCTCCAGTGTTGTACCTCTTGCAGCACCGTGCAAAATAGGTGGTAACTCGTCGTAGATTTCGGACAGATCCTGCAACCGTTGCAGCTGCAGGGCTTCGCGCTGCTGCTCCCACTTTGCAGACTCCTCCGCAGACATGTTATGCACTGCAAAAGTATCGCTCTCGTAATAATTGCAGACATGCATGACATATCGCCTTCCTTAGCTAAAACAGCATTTACCAATTTCATCTCTCATGGCATGGAAATTTGTAATGCAATTTATACTAGTACGAGGCTTTTGCACTTCATACATGTACCCCCGCGCCGACAAGGTTCGCAGCGCTTTTTCGCATTCAAACTCGTCCACCATTTGCAATTCCGCGCACGCGAACGCGAATCCGATCAGCGCCTCCAAAGCGCTTAGGTTTTCTTGAACCGCACTGGTCTGCAGCCTCCGGAGCAACAAGGCCACGAGCGGGTAGCGACACAAAGGAACATCTTCCCGGAGGTCGTCCCCGTGTTCATGTTCTTGCGTCTCGTTGTTGTACGTGCTCCCTGCCAAAGCCATTCGCTGCTTTTTATCGTCTGAAAAAGTCAAAGTAGTATCGCATCCACTATTTCATTTTTGCCGTAAGTATTCAACATTCAGATTTCCATTAGTACCTTTCTTGGCCGAAACAAGGCCGCACAACTTCTAGTTCTAAGTACTGCTTACTTAGAAAGCCAATTGCAATTTTTCACGGTGGAAAAAAAACCAACACATTTTTCATCCCGATGCGATATCAATCGAAACTTTGCAATGCGTATTTTCTGCACTTCCACAAGAGATCAGCTAAACGGCGCTTCCACGACTCCCACAGCTGAATTCGGCGCAGCATCTCAGCACGACTGTGACACAGAAAGGTGCTGGCGTAGATGTCCTCACAACTGCATCACGAAAAAAGAAAAACCATATGGTGGCGAACTGAAGTCTACCAAAACCAATGTTCATACATCACTATTAATTTATCATTGCAGAGAATTTTTTATAGACACGCCGCGGCCAGAGGCTCCGCGACGAGCAGTGTCTGTTCTGCATCGCATACAGGCGCCGAATATCAAATGCAAATATGTCTGGGTCTGGAAGAGTGCGCGATTTGTCATGGAGCTTTTCCATGACGCATGAGGTCTGGAATGCAGGGCCAAGCATGACAGATTCTGTACGATCTCTATCATGCCTATCCTGCATAAGAGACTCCCTCCCGACTTGGTCAAAACCGGACGACTTTTGGGAATCATCGTTCGTTCGTTGTGGATCGGCTCTGCCGACCGGGTAACCCAACGCCTTGCATACAAATGACCGACTTAGGCGAACCCCGTTGCGGGACATACAAATTGGCCGTACGGAAGGGCCCTAAGCGCTACATACATAGTTCACCCTAAGCGCCTACCACTTCGGTCTGGGACCTCGTCTACCTGATCCTGGGACCTCGTCTAATCATGCAACACAGATTTTTGCATGATTCAGATTTAGCATGACAAGTTGCATTCTTCCAGACCCAGAAATTTTTGCACTGGATACCGAATCCTCAGGGTTTTAAAAGCGTCGTCGAATCCGGTTTCCACAGTGTCCGCGAAAGCGGATGGCGGGTTCGTCCTGTGTGTGTAACCATATGAGAAGATTTGTAAGATTCAGGCAGCAGTTTTTTTATCATACAACGCGAAGATGAAGTGATGTAGAAGCATCGTTGCAAAAATATAATTCTGAAACCTGAACTCTCCACGAGCTGGTATGTCGTGGAACGGATGCAACCAGCCGTCGTCCCCCGGATCCGTCCCGGGTCCCTGCCGCCGGATGTGGTAAAAAAGGTCGTTTTCCAGGTACGGGTTCCAAGTGGTAGGCGGATCATACCGCACGCCTCCGGTGGTGGGAGCAGAGACGGATTTTCCCCACTCGTACTGCTCCATGTCGATAGTGCTGAGGTCCTCGTACGGTACACCGTTAATCGTAGCGTACCGCACGCCGTCCGTACACTCGACTTCGCCCAGGGCGGTCCAAGCTCGCGACTGTGCCTGCATATGACCACGCTTTCCTTGCCTCTACCACTATACCTGTTGTAGTACCACTTCTCGCACAATGACCTTCGCACGTGTGCTGTCCTCTACCTCTCTACGCAGAAACAAACAAGAGACGATACTGACCGATTCGGAACTGCACTCGGTATTGTAGAAAAATGCAAGATCCGGCTGCGCAAGGCTTTGAAAAGAGTAGATGAGATTCAAAATTTCACCGAGCTCACCCCGTCAAGAGATTCAAAATTTCACCGAGCTCAAGAGATAGTACCGTGAAAAAACAAGACAAAGGCTTTTGATGATCTTAATGTCGTTTTGACATCATAAGTTCTAACTTTATACCAGCCTACACGGGATCTGGCTCAGCAAGCAGGTACTAAAGAAAAAAAAAACGGATCTGCGTATCAGGAGTGCCAAAAGCGTACAGAAACTCCGACAAACATGAACACACAGGTGCATCCACAGAAAAAGACTGGGATGGGCACAAATACGTACTTGGAGTAGCTTACGTCTCATGATCAGTCGAACGCATACCGCTGGCGTTCTCAACTCATAGATGGGTATTCGAGTGCATGTTTTCAGTTGTACAAAACTTACATTGAGAAGTAACACATACCGTCGCTTCTCGAGTATAGTAGTTCTAGTTATAAAAATGCAGTGTTGACAAAAGTAAGACCACCGCAGCTACAGCCCGTACTACCTATTCGCTGCACCTTCGACGTAGTTCGTCGTACTTTTCTCTTCATCGCACATCAAAAACAACTCGCGTTTTTCTACTTTTACTACCTTGTCTCGCTGGTGCTGGACACAAGTTCCTCGTGCTGCTTGCGTATTCTGTCCTTCATGACCTTGCGTTTTTGCTGGGGCGAGAGTGCCGCCCCCGCGCCGGACAGGATGACCTCGTCGACGGTGGAGGTGGGTTGGAAGTTCGCGAAGTCGGTGCTCGTGAGCTCGGAGACCGGAATTCCTTCCCCCGTGTAGTTGTGCTGCCCACCGTCCCCCTCCGGGACGGATGACGATGGGCAGACAGACATGGGCGCGGACGACGCGAGCCGCTTGCCGTCGCAGTAGAAATCGAAGGCCTCCGGGGACAGCGACTGGACGAAGCAGTCGGCTTGCGTTTTCATCAGCTGCGACGTCAACTGCCCGTAGTCCAGTTGAGGTGAAGAAGCCGCGTGCTGCTGGCCAACATCCTCGACTCCGGCAACTTCCTGACCCGCCGGGCTGTTACCAAGCACGGGCGCGAGCTGTGCGCGGTCCTCGTCGGTCAGCTTGATCGCCACGTTCTCGGCGTTGGCCAGTTTTTCCGCAAGCTGCTCTGCGGCCGCGGCGTCCACGCCTTGTTTCACCAGCGCGGCCTTGGCCTCGTCCGCTTTTACTGCGTTCTCCACGGAGGGAGTCGCACCTTGTGCTGTTTCGGTGTGTTTCACCTCCTCGGCCGTCTCGGCAATCGCGGCCTCGAGCGCCACGCGGGCGGCTTCCAGCAAAACCAGGCTCGCGTCAATTTCCTCCAAAGCCGCCACCGCCGCGGCGCTTCCCCGGCAGCAGCACCCCGGCTGCGCGAGCGCGTCCAGCGCGGCGCGCTTCTCCTCGAGCTGTTTTTTTTCCGCTTCCAAATCCGCTTTCTTCTTCTCCTGGGCGGTTTGTTTCATGAACTTGTCCATTTTCGAATGCGCCGTAGTCACCGCGTCTGGTTTGAACCCGAGGGCGGCCACCAACTGCTCGTCTTTCTCGGTAGCGGTGATCGGATCCGCGCTTTCGGTCCAGTCGTCCGGAATTACGCCGGCGTCTTGCGTGACGATCCGAATCGCCGCCTGCTTGGCGTAGCCGGGAGAGAAGCCCGCCTCGGCATACATTTTCTCTAGGTTTTCTATCTCTGCGAGCTGCGAGGGCGAAAGCTGCTCGAGCATCGAGCGCTCGGCCGCGGAAGCGCGGACGGGGGCAGCTACGGGTGGACTTATCGCCGCCGGAACCGACCCGTCCTCTACGCCCGGGGGCGAGGAACGATCTCCCGAGGGAGGGATTGTTCCGGGCTCTTCTACCTCCGAAGCAATACCGCCCTCCTCCGAACCGACCGCGGCGTCCTCCTCCTCCGCGACTTCCTCCTCCGCTTCCGCGCCAGCCGGCGCTTCCGTCGGCGCCGACTCCAGGTCGGTGTCGATTTCGACTAATGCCTCCGGCGGCAGGGCCGCCGCGACCTTGATGAACTGCGCCCGCGCGAGCTGCGCGTGCTCCGTGGTGGTTCCGATGGCGCCGCCCATGACATTCGTCAAGACTTCAAGATCGGCGCCCTCCGCGGCGGGCAGGTCCACCCCCGTCTCGTCGATGTCGGGGTTTGCCAGCGCGGTGGCCAGCTTCTTCGCGTACGCGGGCGTCAAACCCTTGGACACGATGGCCTGCTCGAAGACCGCGCGGGCCTCGTGCCCGTAGCTGTCCGCAGTTAGCACGGGCTCGTTTTTTTCCGCCTTGTCTTTTCTCTTCTTGCGAGCCTTCAATACGAGTGGCGCGCTCGACACGGCGGTTTCCTGCGGCGTTTTTCCGTCCGGGTCGTCGGCAACGTCCGCTTGCAGATTCAGCTGCAAATCAGCCTTCTCAGCTGGTGCTGCGTGTTTCTTTTTCTCCTGCTGTTTTTCAGATTTGTCCTTCTTCTTTTTCCTTACATCCGCTCCCGCACCGCCGCTAGTGTCATCTCCGTCTTCTTGTCCTCGAAGTTTGTCTTTGTCTTTCGATGCCTTTTTGCTGTCTTTGTCTTTCTTCTTGGGCGTCTTCTTGCTGCTTGTGCTATCTTCATCTTCCTCGGTTGTGATATCACCGGCTCCTTGCAACACAACGCCGTCGCCCACAAGTTTGTTTCCGCTTGCAGTCTTTTTTAGCTTTTCTTTCTTCGCCTTATTTTTCGTGCCTTTCGTTGAGTCGTCTGTGTCGTCCTCCGCGGTCGTCACGCCAGCGCTGTCTTTGATAGCCTTCTTCACGACTTTCTTCGGGCGCCGCTTCGAGGAGGACAAACTGGAATTATTGGAAACCTCGCTAGACAAATCACTCCGGTCCAACGACTTGGTTCTCTTCTTTTTTACACCCGGAGCTGCACCACCCTTGGTATGCTTTGACGTCGTGGTTTTTCCGCCCGGCCCGCCCGCAAAGTTTTCGTCGTCATCCTGCCCGGGCGCCGGCGGCGACGGGATTGCTGCACTCGGTTGTTGACCTATGCCCGCGACCTGCTTCTTTTTGACTTTCCTCTTCGGCGTCTTCTTCACCGGCGGTGGCTGAAGCGCTAATTTCAACGTCAATGCCGTCTCGTGCTCGCCGAAGCCCAGGTCGCGCAAAATACGAAGATCCTTCCCCTCCGGGCGGACAATGGCAGTGCCCGGCTCTATTTTCGCCGTCGCGATCTGCGTGGCAAGCTGCTTTCGGTACTTCTCCGACAACCCAACGTCCTTCAACGCGATTTCCACTTCGGTAACCTCTGGCTGCCAAGCCGGCTGCAATTCAGGAACCACAGCGGCTACTGGTGCCACCTTCTTCTTTTTCTTCTTTTTCGTTTTTGCGGCCAGGGCGCCTTTTAGCTCCGCGGCGGTTTCCGTGCCGCCGAGTCCGAGCGCGGCGAGCGCCTGCCGGTCGGTTTCCGCCAGGTCGGTGGTCTCTAGTTTGGCCGCCGCTTCGGCGGGGTTCGCCAACCGCAAAGCGAGTAGTGACGCTGCCGCCGGCGACACTCCCTCCTCCTTCAGCGCCGCCTCCATTTTCCCCTGTTCCTGGGCCACCTTCTTCTTCGTCTCCGCTTTCGCGAACAGGGCGCCCTGCATCTCCGCGTGGGTCGCCGCCCCGCCGAGTCCCAGAGCCGCCAACGCGTTCTGGTCTGCCACGTTCAGCGCCTCCGTTTCTAATACCTGATTCGCCCCGGGGTTCGCGAGTTTAACCGCGAGCAACGACGCGACGGAGGGCGACAAACCCTCCTCCTTCAACGTCTGTTCCATTTTTCCCTGGTGTCGCGCTACCTTCTTCCGCTTCTCGGTCTTTGCGAACAGCACGCCCCGCATTTCCGCGTGGGTGGCCGCGCCGTTTAACCCTAGGGCCGCAAGCGCGTCCTGGTCCGCCGCGGTGAGGTGCGGTGTTTCCACTTGAGCCTTTTTGGAGTCCCCGGGGTTCGCGAGTTTGACGGCCAAGAGCGACGCGACAGAGGGAGAAATACCCGCCGCTTTCAGCGTCGTCTCGGCCTCCGTTGCGGATAAATCCGCCTGGTTCCCCAGGTCCTCGGCGAGCTTCTTCCGCTTTTCGGTCTTCGCGGCGACCACACCCCGCAGCTCCGCCGCCGTCTCCGTGCCGCCAATGCCGAGGGCGGCCAGGGCGTCCTTATCGGCCGCAATTAGCCCCTGGGTTTGTTCTACTATTTGCCTCTTCCCCTCCCCGGGCTGCGCGAGTTTAACCGCAAGCAGCGACGCGACCGAGGGCGACAGCCCCGCGGCTTTCAACGTCGCCTCCGCCTCCTGCGTTGACACTGTTGCCTGCGCCCCCATATGCAAAGCCTGCCGCTTCTTCTGCACGCGGGGCGACAGAAACCGCATCATCTCGCCGACCGTATCGCCGGGCGCGAATCGCAGGGCCTCGAGCACTTCCTGGTCTACTGGTAAAGTCGCCTGCGGCAGCGGCCGGGCCGCGGCAGCGGTGTTGGTACTTGTCGTCACACACAGAATGCCGGACAAAACCTTCGAATACTCCGGCGAGAGCCCGTGGGCGGTGGTCACGGCCAGCGCCTCCTCGAAGGTCGGGGTTATGACCACTGCCCCGCGGATCGTGTTCACGGCGAGGTCCTCGCGCTTCGGCGGTTTCTTACGCGCAAACGCCCCCTTGACCTCCGCGAGACACTCGGCTCCTCCGAGGGATCTCTCGTGCCACAGGGCCAGGTCCCGGCCCCACTGCGGCGACGGAAGGATAAACTCCGGGTCCCGTCCCATCGCAATCCCCCGCGCGACGCCTTTGGCGGCCTCCGGCGAAAAACCGTCCGCGCGCAATGCGGTTTATGGATTGCAACTATGTGGTCTGGGTCGGGAAGATTCTGATACTTGTCATGCACGTTTTACATAAGCCATGATGTCGGTGATGCATGCCCTAGCATCACAGATTCTTTGACGGCTTCTTGATGCTTATTCCGCATGACAAATGCCCTCTCGTCCGCTCAGCACGAGTTGCGTTCTCTTTGCTGCTCATGCAATACAGATTCTTTTGGAATCCAAGTTCAGCATCACAAGTTTCATTCTTCCAGACCCAGACATTTTTACACTTGATACGGTCTCCCAGTATCCCATCCCCGGGTCATTCAGTTGCGCGCCCTATCCTGAGTAAAAACGTCCCCACACCAGAGTTGCCATGCAGATTTGCCACGACAGGAACATTTGTGATGCGCAACCCCATGACAGGCATTTTCAATCGTGTTTGGGAACTTGTAATGCTGTAAACAGGATTGGCAAATCGATTTGTGGTGCGGCTTTCCTTGCTAACTTGCACTACCTTACGGACTGAAACTTGTCATGCGTGACTCCCAAAACTCCTAGGTTTGTGTTGCAAAATCCCCATCTTGACTCTGGTGTGGGGACGTTTTTAATCAGGATACGCCCCGCCACTTGTTTTCCCGCTTTTGCCGCACCTTTTTCCCGAAGAGCTGGCGCAACTCGCCGGCGTTGCCGATTCCGCCAAACTGCAGCCGCTGCATGACCGCGAGATCCCGGTGGCCCTGCGGCGGCGGCACCGGCTCATCGTCCACGTGCAAGTCGCCCGCGACCAAACCCGCCAGCATCCGCGCATATCTCGGCGTGAATCCGTCCGCCAGCAGCGCCTGCTCGGCCTCCGTAAATTCCACGTTCAGCTTGGTGATATCGTTGTCGCGCTGGTTGTGGTTTTGGCGCCATCTATTTCCCGGCGCACCGGTTGTAGTACTTGCCGCCCCGTAGGTTTGGTGGTCCGCGTGACCCCCGTGGCCACCAGGGCTACCACCGTAGCCGTATCCATGAGCAGCACCTCCGGGTTGTAGTTGATGATGTTGATGTTCGCGCGCGTTGTAGATGGCCCGCACCTTCGCCTCGTCGTCGCCACCGCAGTAGAGACACATGGCTATGGCGGCCGAGATTATGAGCAGTACCCCGATCACGGTCAGCACGGGGCCGGCCACGCCAAGTTCGGGACAGAGCACACAGCCACCATCGACGCCCGAGGCCCCTATGCCATCCTCGCCAGGCTCGGATAAGGGCGCTCTGTTCAGTTCTAGTACGGTCTGTTGTAGTTCCACAGGTACGTAATCTAATATTTCCCGCTTCTTGTGAAATTCTTCTTCTTGTCCACTCGCGTCTGATATCTTGTCCCGTGCAATTCTTTCCCTTTCGACGTCCACTTGCAGAAACGGCGGACCAGCACCGGACTCAGCAGTTTTTACAGGCGCGTAGCTCTTTCGTGCACGACCTTTATCGACGTCCTTCTCGGTGACTCCAGATAATATTGCATGTTGCAGAGTGATGTCGTCGTGCTCGCCACGGGAAGATGGCCCTGTATTCTCCTCTATCTGGTTCTCCACTCCTGGTTGCTCTCGATAAATCCGGGCCGGCTTCGGGCGCGACGAGCGAGGTTGGTGTATAACGGTCGCCGACTTCGCGCTCGAGTGCCTTTTGACCACTGAGAAGCGAAGCCCCTGGATGGGAGTCAAGAAAGCTGCGTGGCCGACATCAACATAAAAGGTACTACTAAAACAGCACCCCGGAGTGAACAACCACACCAGGACTACTGTCCGCAGGAACGACCACCACGGCCACCGCTCTGCGACTCTGGTACCCATTTTTCCACCTTGCCGACAGAAAAAACTTCACCCGGAAGTGGTCCAATCAGCAGCAGGTGGATCAACCAGCAGCACGACCCCGAAGCAAACACACGGCGCGCCGTGGTGCGACCCCGACATTATTCGTTTTCTGGACGACCTCCAGCACTCGTCGCAGTTCGAAAAAATTTACTTTTTAGTTTTAGAAAGGTGGTAAAGCGTCAACTAGCATCACCTCCAAAATCTTCCTTCGGTACGGCACATGCGTCCCAAGTATTCTCCTCGTCGCAAGTGCACAGCCAGCATTGAATTTAGAGTTGGAGACACGCATGCGCTTGCCTATTCAATTGCGGTTGGAGGTGTATATTGACGTATCATGCTGTACTACTGCAGTGTCGTGTAGGTAACTATGTATGGGTCCTGGAATGCCAGCAATGCCGATCAGAAAAATGATCTCAATATGGCGATTGCCTCGAAGATGCTCTAGCGGCGGTAATTTGCGCAGTACAACTGCGTTTGCATACATGTTCGGTACAAAGAACGACGAGAAAGTGTGAAGCGAGTTAGCGGATTTTTTGACCGCTGCACTTCATACGAATGATGTGAGAAAAATGCACGAAAGGTACGACTACGAAGTTTGGCTTGGTTGCACGATTGCTTTACACTTTTGTTTCATCGGGTACATTCATGAGGAACGAAAAACGAGGCAAAGAACAACTTCATCAATCCGGAACGAATTAGAAAGACGACACAGAAGCAGGCTTCTAAGTAACCACAGGAAAGAAGGATAGAACGAGCGCCCATAAAGAGTTCTGCCTCCGAAAGGCTCTTGCGTTAGTGAACGCGTTCTATGGTGGGTCAGGTTTGTGAGAATAAGGGGAGAATATATTTTCGACGTCTTGAGGGGGGTCGTATTTGCGCATTGTGGAAATCAATGGGCGCCAAATGTATGGAAAAAAGTATGGAATCGAAAAAGCTGAAAAGTAATGAAAAAAAGCAAAAAAACTTACTAAAATTTGATGATTCAGAAAAAGCAAAAGCGAGAGACTTGTTGGGGTAGCACTGTTGAAATCTCAGCTTCGCCTCCTCCGAAAACTCCTGCGTTAATATCTTCTGGATTTTAGTATGCTGTAACCAGCATACGGGAAGATTGTTCTTGTCATTCTTTCGCGGCCAATACGATAAAAAAAGTCCTTTTCTATGTGGAACAACCAGCAACTAGCTTCAGAAGTTGCACTGCTCTCGTATTCTTGATTTCATGATCTCGCGCTTTTGCGCAGCGGAGAGTGGCTCGCTGGCCAAATCCGACGCCAGTCCGCTCTTGACGAAGGCCGAAGACGTGTCATTTGTAAAAACGTCCCCACCCCCGAGCTGTCATGCAAATCTGCACGCCTAAAATGTTTCTCATGCGCAGACCCATGAGAAGCAATTTCTAGTCGTGTTTTGGAATTTGTGCTGCTCGATCCAGCATGCTATGCTAGATCTGTGATGCTTCTGAGCTAGCCAAACAGGATTACACTACATGGCCAAACAACTTGTCATGCACAAAAACAAAAATCTGGTGGATTTGTCTAGCAGATTTCCCATCTTGACTCTGGGGAGGGGACGTTTTTGCTCAGGATAAGACGTCGGGCTGAAATTCGCGAACTCCTTGCTGCTGAGATCGGAAATGGGCACCCCGACGAGGCTATGAAATGCAAAAATGTCTGGGTCTGGAAGAGTGTAAACTTGTCATGCAGGTTTTCCATGACTCGTGAGGTCTGGAATGCGGGACCTAGCATGACAGAGTCTGTGGGGTCTCTGCCATGCCTATCCTGCATGAGAAACTCCCTCCAAACTTGGTCGAAAGTGGACACCTTTTGGCACTCATGCAACACAAATTTCTGCATGATTCAGATTTAGCATGACAAGTTGCAATCTTCCAGACCCAGACATTTTTACAATCCATAGAGGCCGCTCTCGCCACTGGCGCCGTAGGACGAGAGCAGTGTGGACATGGGGGATTTGGACGCGAGCCGTTTGCTGTTCACGTACATTTCGAAGGCCTCCGGCGACAACGAGTCCACGAAGCAGTCCGCCTGCTGCGACATCAGCTGGGAAGCCACCTTGCCGTAGTCCACCCCCGGCGTGTCTGCGGCGTCGCCCAGGACGGATTTCAGCTCCTTTTTCTCCTTCTCACTCAGCTCCTGTGCCACGTTATCCGCGTCCGCTAATTTCGACGCCAGCTTCTCCGCGGCCTTTTCGTCCACCCCGGCCCGGACCAGCGCCTTCTTCGCCTCGTCCTCGTGCACCGCGTTCTCCACCTCCAACCCGGCGAACTCCAGCGCGTCGTGCTCCTCGGCGTCGGCCGCGATCTCGGCCTCCAGCTCCCGCAAAGCGCGCCGGGCCTCCCGGTCGCCGGGGCACAGCCAGGGTACACAGCCGGACTGGGCTTTTGCCTGCAGCGCCTCCCGCTTCTTCTCCCGGGCGAGCTGCTTCTATGCATTGCAAATATGTCTGGGTCTGGAAACTTGTAATGCTAAGTGGCGATGATCGAGCATACTCCTGAGAGCAGCCAAGCATGACAAATTTTTAGGACGTTTCCTCATGTGTAATACGCATGAGAAACTGCGTTTTTGCATGACAGAGAATTCGCGCTTTTGTCGGTCACGCAATACAGATTTTACAGGAGTGCAAGACGCGCAATACAGATTCCAATTTATCCAGACCCAGACATATTTGCAATGCATAGCTTCATGAAGTGGTCCATCTTCTCGTGCTGCGTCGCGGCGCCGTCGTTCTCGAATCCGAGCGCGGACAAGAGCTTCTTGTCCTCCTTCGTCACCTATCAAATGCAAACATGTCTGGGTCTCGAAGAATGCAAAATTTGTCATGCTGATTTTCCATGACCCCTGAGGTCTGAAATGCAAAATTTAGCATGACAGATTCTGTGAGGTCTCTATCATGCCCCTCCTGTATGAGAAACTCCCTCTCAACTTGGTCGAAAGTGCACAGCTTTTGGCAATCATGCAACACAAATTTTAGCATGCTTCTGCTTTAGCATGACAAGTTGCAGTGTTCCAGACCCAGACATATTTGCAATGCATATCACCTCATGCTCCTCCACCTTGTAGTCCTCCTCTTCCGGTAACTCAACCCCGGAATCCTTCGCCACCACCCGCTTCGCCGCCTTTTTCGCATACGCGGGAGAGAACCCGGACACGAGGTAGATATGCTCCACCTCCCCCAGCTGCAAATTGGAAGCCAGGTTCAGGTCGATGGAGGGTAGACTGTGCACGGAGCCGGACAAAGTGGAGGTCAAGTTGTTGAACCCCGATGTGGCCGCGAGCGCCTGCAGCTCCGGAGGGATATTGTCCTCCTCGTCGTCGTCGTGCGCAGCAGACACCCGCTCGCCCCGCGCGCCGTCGGACAACTGGTCGTCGGAGCTGCTGTGGTGCAGCGCCTCGGGCGGCAACTTCTTCGCGGCCTTGATAAACTTTTCGCGGGCGAGCTGCGCGTGCTCCACGCCGGTGCCGTCGATGCCCATCGTCTGCGACATGATCTCCAGGTCGGCGCCAACCGCGGGGGGCAGAGAGACCAAATTCTCGTCAATGTCCGGATTGGCCAGCGCCTTGGCCAGCTTCTTGGCGTAGTGCGGGCTCTATCAAATGCAAAAATGTCTGAGTCTGGAAGAATGCAAGTTTGTCATGATTGTCTGGCATGACTCGAGAATCTGCGTTGCATAGGCACGAAAAAGCCCTCTACTTACCTGTCATTCAAAAACGCAGTTTGCCATGCGGAATACGTAAGACATGGCAGCCAAAAAATTTGTTATGCGTAGCTGCGTATTGCAGTACGTCTATCATGATTCACTTTTAGCATCACAAATTTCCAGACCCAGACATTTTTGCATTTGATAGGCTCAGCCCCTGCGCGAGGATGGCCTTCTCGAAGACCGCGCGGGCCTCGCGTCCGTAGCTGTCTGCGGTTAGTGCGGGCGAGGAGGAAGCCAGGTTTTGGTCCTCGTGGTCCTGCTTGCTGTGGCCTATGCTCGGCGCCGCGAAGACCCCGGGCTTGTTCTTGTCGTGGTGGTCCTTGTGCTGGTGTTTCTTCTTCTTTTTCAACACCAAATTGCCGTAGCCGTCGTCCTCCCCGTCCACTTTCAGCACCCGGCCCCCCGGCGTGAACGTTTCCTCCGCTTCGAGGTCGGATTCCTTCCGGCTGTCTTTGTTCTTCCCCTGCTTCTTGTCCTTCTTGAAGCCCTCCCGGCTGGAGGGGGCGCTGCTACTCGAGAGGCCGCTGTTTTCCGAAGCGGTGGACAGCTTCCCGCTATCCTTGTGGCGTTTGTGCTTCGTTTCGCCCTTGCCGCGCTTGGAGAGCCGCGCGGAATCCTTGGACGTGCGGCTGCTGGTCGCGTCCGAATCGTTCGACTTCAAGCTCGTCTTGGCCGCGGCCCCCTTCTTGGACGATTTGTGCTTGGTCTTCGCGGGCTGGAGCGCCATCTTTAGCGCCATCACGGTCTCCTTCGGGCCAAACCCGAAGTTCAGCACGATCCGGAGGTCCTTACCCTCGGGGCGCTCGATGACGGAGCTCGGGTCCAGGTTTGCGCTGACAATCTGCGCGGCCAATTTCTTCCGATACTTGGGCGACAGCCCGACCTCCTTCAGGGCGGTTTCCACCTCCCCGAGCTCGGGCCGCCAATCCTTCGCCGCCGCCACCTTCGCGGCCCGCTTTTTCGTCTTCTTCTTCGCGGTCTTCACCGCCACCAGCCCGCGCAGCTCCGTCGCGGTCTCGGTGCCGCCCAGCCCCAGGGCCGCCAGCGCCTTCTGGTCGAGCTCGTCGAGGTTCTGCGTGTCCAGCGGCTTCCGGTTGTTCCGGTCCGCCGCCTGCTGGGCCAGCCGCCGCGCCAAAATCGACGACTATCATATGTAAAAACGTCCCCACGACGACCCCGTAGTCAAGTTGGGATGCCATCTGCAACACAAATCAACAAGTTTTGGCTGTTGCGCATGCCAAGTTTGGGCTCGCGATGTAGTCGCATTTTGTTAGTGCAGCAGCATCACAAATCTAGCTTCTCATGCTGATTCGAGCATCACAGATTCCAAAATAGTGCTAGACAATGCGTCCTCTCATGGGGCTCCGCATGAAAGACGTTTTACGCATGCAGATTTGCATGACAACTAGGGGGTGGACACGTTTTTCCAAAGGATAACGACACGCCCGAGTTCACCAACGCCTCCTCGCACTCCTTCGCCGACACGGTCACCTTGTCCCCGGCCTTGGTCGCCAGCCGCTTCCGCTGCACGCGGGGCGAGAAGAATTGCAGCATGTCCTGGACCGTCACCTTCTCGACGGGGCCCAGCCCCAGCGCATCTAGCACGTCCCGGTCCGATTCCGTCTTCCAGGCCGGCAGCTTCTTCTTCGCGGCGGGCGTGCCCGGCTTGGTGTCCGTCAACGCGGTGGCCAGCGTCTTGGCGAACGCCGGCGTGAAGCCGTGCGCCAGCGCGATGGCCTCCGCCTCCCCGAATTCGGGCGTGATCAGGTTTTTGTTCAGCGGAGCCTTTTTGTTCGTCGCCGCGCGCAGGAACGCGCCCTTCACCTCCGCGGCGCACTCCGTCCCCGCGAGCCCGCGCAGGTGCCACAGCGCCAGGTCCTTGTCGTCCGCCGGAGCCTCCAGCGCCTCGTCCGACCGCGCTTTCGCGAGCCGCTTGGCGCCCTTCTTCGCGAACGCCGGGGAGAACCCGTCGGCGCGCAGCAGCGTCTCCCAGTACCCCAGTCCGGGGTCCTTCATCGCCGCCCCCTTCAACTTGTTGTCCCGCTTCACCTTCACCTTCGCCGCAAATACCTGCCGCAGCTCCGCGGCGTTCTCGAACCCGCCAAACTGCGCTTTCTGCAGCGCCGCGAGGTCGCGGTGGTGCTTTGGCGGCGGTAACGAGTCGTCGTCCTTTTTCGGATCCGGGTCGCAAATCACCTTGGCCAGCTTCTTCGCGTAGGACGGGCTGAAGCCCTCCGCGAGAAGGGCCTGCTCGGTCTCTTCGGGCAGTAGCTTCATCTTCTTGTTGTCCCGGTGCACATGGTGATGGTGGTGATGGTGATGGTGCTTATTTGATGTTCCGAAATGACCACCGCTGTCACGGCCGCCACCCCTGCCTCCGCCGCCGCGCCGCCCGCGCACCGCACTCCCCCGTCTGGGGGCGCCCAGCGGGGATTGCGCGTCGTCGTCGTCGTCGTCTTCGTCCGCCTTGCAACAGCAGGAGCACAGCAGGCACAAGAGACACAGCAAGAGAAGGGCCGCCAACGGAATCCAGATCCACCAATTGTCCGACTCCTCGTCGGTCTGCTCCTGCGCGTACGTTGTGTTGTCCTCTTTCATCGCTGCCGGTGTGGTGGTACTCGTACTGAGAACATGGGGGGCGGCCGTAGTCGTGACAGCCGGGGTCGTGACAACCGGGGTCGTTGGAGCCGGGGTCGTTGGAGCTGGGGTTGTTGGCGGAGCCGGGGTTGTTTCCGGGGGCTGCTCTTCCGGTAGAAGAGGCTGGAATTTGCCCACGCTGCAGATGCTGTATACGGAATGGACTTCCGCGCGATCATCATTCGGATCCCATCGGACGGGATATTTTCTGTCTGCGGGCTGCAATTCGCGAAGCCAGCAACCATCGTAACCCCATTCCCAGTGCCCAATTCCTGCGCTCATTCCGAGACACCATGGCGTAATCCGACAATAAGCCAGGCAGATCCAAAAGCCGTGGCCCGGGGCTAGAGCCCCACCGCGGGGCTGGAGGTACTCCACCCAGCGACCTGCCAGGTCCCCCGGAGTCTGTTCCCACTCGATAGCTTGTTGTCCGGATCCAATCTCAATTCCTTTGACTTTCCACTCTCCACTACCTGGGGGACCCAGTCGCGGCAGCCCGGTGACAACACCAGTTTGTTCGTTTGTCTGTAGATTGATTTCCACATCTTTAAAGATACCTTGGTCTTTGATAGCGTTCTGCCAATCACCGGGGTTTACTCGTGCGTTGCGCTTAAACATGCCACCGTCGGGGTGCGTTTGTTCCCCCGTCGCGCCGTCTGGCCAATCCAGAAACAATCCGTATGTTTCCGACTCGCACTTGCTAAAGTCCGTCGCGTCCCTGGAGCAAGGTGTTCCAAGTCTGCTTACTATTGTCGTTCCTGTTGAAAAAGCATGATTGTCCCCGCCCTGCGTGTACTCGTAATTCGGAACGATTTGGTCGGAACCGGGAGGCACCTTGCTGTAAAGTCGGCAGGCGATTCCAGCCGTTCGGGGCTCGCGATACGTAGTTGCGCTGGATACTCCATGCACCCCTGGCTTGTATGTGTATACCTGCCAGGCGACGCACTTTTGCTCGCCATGACCGGTGAATCGTCCCGTGTTGGGCCATGCAGCGCAGAGATTCTGGCACTGTTCCACCCAATCCAATGCAGGATAAAAGGTGTCGATCCCGTTCCCGTTTCGCGCCAGTATCACCCCCTTGTCGGCCTCCGTCGTACCCACCAGGGGATCATAGTTCCTTTCTGTGCCGGCGCCCACAAGATCGCCCTTCCCCCAGAGGTTGAAGTCCGCCATTATGGTGCCACTTCCAGCCTTGAACTCATACCCTTTCAGCACTTGGCACGTGTCGACATTGTTCCAACAGTTCTGAGGAAAAAAATTAGGATCCTGATCTTTTTTACATAAATCCAGAAGTCTTGTGACCCAAGGTTCGTTCTGATTCGTCGCTTCGATATCTTCCCAGTTAGTTATTGAAGTAGAAACCTGGGCAAAGCTTGGCTCCCGCCCGTCGCGTGGCTCCCCAACTACGCGTCCAACAACGTTCTCGCTGACAATGTCGGCAGCCAGCTCAACACGTGCTCTTCCCTCGTCGTCCTCGCTGACATTTTCGGCAGCCGGCTCCACACCTGCTCGACCTTCCTCACCCTCGCCGACAATTTCGGCAGCCGGCGCATGTTGCGGCACTTTTTTCAGACCCTGCTCCAAGCGCGACCGGGGTCGACTCGTAGTATCCCCAGTAGCACGGCTGCGGAGGATGGTGGCGGAGTTTACTTTCCGAGAGGAACTCTTGATGCCAACGCGATAGCCCAGCGGGGTGGACCGGAAATCCATCGCGCACCATAAGCCGACCAGCAACGCCCCCCGAGAGGCTCTACTTCCACCACCACCACCACCAGTGGTCAACGCCTCAAACTTCTTTCGCATGGTCCACCAGCACCGTTTTTTCAGTGGGAGCGAACGGAAGCCAGTGAGGCAAACACCGCGACTAGCAAGGAAGAACTGCTTGAAGCGTTGAAATAAGAGCCATCATTGCCTTTCATGACAAGGCGAGGTAAGGACTACGTTACATCTTCGCAACCGGTCTTCATTTTAAGTAATCGACCGGAGACACTTCTTGCAGTCCGGTGCTGGGTGTGTGTGTATCTGATCTCATCCAACACGGAGGGGAATGGGTTTAGTGTTAATCAAAAGGGATTGAATATAATTTTTCCAGGGGGTTAGAATTCATATCGGGGGGTCTGGTGCAATTCCAATGACATAGACATTCTTTTTTTCTTTGCAGATCTACCGTTTCAAACAAACAAATTTTGCAGCAAAACAAGACGAAGGGGACGATGAAGCGATGGACGACACAGCAAAAGAACGATTTCATTTCAGGTTTCATCACAAGTTCAAACCTATACTGTGTTGCACGAATGGAAAACCGTACGAATTACGAACGAAAACCTTTCTTCAGATCAAGTGATCCAACATATGATAGACCTTTTTTTGAACGGTGGACGATTTTTGGTGATTAACAACGAAGCCGAGAAGACGAGAGCAGAGCGGACAATATCCAAACAACTAAGTTGTACGAGATGAGCCAGTTGTTCTTCATCACGGCGTTTCATCGGAGAACGATAATCATGGTCTACATGTTTTTGCTGCGCTCGCCGGGCTTGCACAGTGTGCGACCAGGTGGAACATAGGCTAGAAATAGACCGAAAACTTCTACCGTGTGACAGCCGCGGCAAGATATTCATATACAAACAGCACGAAGTTATCACCTTTATCTGCAATGCAGCGCTAGTTGGGATAGTACAACAGCCCCGCTTGCAGTACACGATCTTCACAGGAAGGCAGTTGAACTGCCGTCCTCCTCCTAGTTGTACCTGTGTCTACGACTTGCTTCTTGTGCGTTCTTCCCACAAGGTCGTGTAATTGTTTTTCATCAACGACAACGACATTATAGATACTCAGCTAGCAGTATCCGCTCCGCGGCTTTCCGTGACGTCTGCCAAGGGCGGCGCAACGTGCTGCAGCACGACGGACCGGGTTTCTTCGCTGCGAATTTTCGAGATTGCATTGCAGACGGTGACCCCGAGCGCCTGCGTGGCCACGACCGTGAAGAAGAGCAGATAGGTGACATTGAGCCACTCCGCCTCCGCAACCACTTCGAAGCAGTTCCACCCCGTGTTTTTCTCCAGCGCCTGGCACACCGGCGCCAAACTCCCGAAATGCACAATGAACCGCACGAACAGGTCGCACTGCGAGGCGGCACGAAATCAAACAAAAAAAAAAAATGATGTGGAGGACAGGTTGTTTTGCAATGCCAGCGCTAGATGCAGTTGACTTTGCGGCATTATATTATAAACTCTTTTGCCCAACATGTTGACGCAGATGAACATACTAAAACACTTTTTATCTGCAACCATGGTGCTCCGCGGCTGCAACAAGAACGTTGGACCAGTCCACGCCACACCTCTTTCTTCCTTGAGATAGCAACGCCACGGAAAGCACAAAAACGTCCAAGCCCGCCCACGCCCGCAACGTCTGACAGCAGAGGAAGCCGAAGTAGTGCTGGCTCGGGCGGAGGGGCAGTACCCACAGCAGGAACAGGCCCACGACGAACAGCACGGGAAAGCCGAACCCAAACAGATAGACCACCACCTGGATGAACCCTGTGTTTTTGCTCTTCTCCAGCCCCCGCGCGAGGTCCAGCAGGGAATACGCAGCGGTGTTGGGCTGCCCCGTCAACTGGTTCAACACACTCGCGGCCCCGGCAAAGTGGAACCGCACCATGGGCAGCGTAAAACCGTGGACGTGCACTACCAACAGGCAAACGAGCGCCGCCGCCACGCGGTTCTTGTACCCTCGGTTGTGGCCCGCCATCTCCCATAAGGGGGTGCGGCGCTGCAGCCCGTTCTGCCGCACGTGCTGGTTGAGCACGAACCGGTGCACGAACAGCACCACGTGGCCCAACACCAGACTCAGGTATCCTGTGCAAAAGTATCGCTCTCGTACTAATTGCAGATATGCATGACAAATCCATTTTTCTACCTGAAATAGCATGAAAAATTGCATTTTTGTATTTGTTCTTGCGAAAATTTGCAATGCAATTTATACCAGTACGATACTTTTGCAATGCATATCAGGATGGTGGCGGCAATGAAAAAGAAGAACGGCAGCTCGTACAGGATGTCGATGCCCAAACCGAGTTCGGCGCCCGTTTCCGGGTTGCGCAGCGGCCAGACGAAGCGGAAAGTGGCAGCGAACACAACCAACACGAAAGAATCCACGAGGCTCACCTTGCCCGACGTATTGAGAGGAAAAATCCCCCCTCCCCATATTGAAAAGTAATGTTTCCAAAAATTTGCGTTGCGGATTTAAGGTCACAAATCGCGCCTGTCTTGCAAGAAGACAAGGGCAGATGCTTCCGCCCCATTATGGAAGCGATTTGTCATGCTGCTGGGCCTAAAGGGGGGGCGTTTGCCATGCTGAACTACTAGACCCATACGCCCCTACCTAGCCTGGGGATCTGGCCGCAGTGCCTCTCTGCAATACAAAGCTGATTTGTGGTCACAAATCAGCATCACAAATTTCCGTTTTGGTATGGGGAGGCGGGATTTTTCATTTTCATACGACGCGTCCAAGATTTCCAGCCACTGTTCCCGCTGCTTCGTGGAAAACCGGGAAAAGAGTTCGCGAAACTGCTGGTGACCCCTTCGTGCTCTGGCACTACCGGCTCCGTCCGGACCCACCACCTTCCTCGGCGTCGCGTACCAGCATTTCAAAATGACGAACAACTTCACGTAGGGCCACACCCCGGAGAAAAGCAGGATTGCGACCGCGAACAGGTAGCACTTCGCACTCCACATGTCCGTCACGCTGTTCGCCAGCGCGAACGCGAACATATCCGGCACGAGCACCGACACCCGACGGGTTGCAGCAGTGCCCGGTCCGCCCGCGGGGTCGGGAACATCGCCGGCCGCCAAAAACCCCATCGACACCGCGACCGAGAGGTTGCTGGCGAGGTAGAGCCCGACGCAGGCAACGGTCAGCAGGCCGATTCCGTGCGAGACCAGGGGCGGAATCTCGGGACAGGCCGCCAGCGCGAGGAGCTCGCGATCGGTCGGCGAAAGCTCGCCCGGCGCGGTTTCGACGCTGTTTGTTGCTCCACCGGGTTCTTCTACCAGCAACAGGGGCTGGCGTCGAGCGCAGGCTCCTTGTTCCGGCACATCCTGGGTATTTATTTTACTCGTGGTACTACGACCCGCAGTTCTTCGCATGTTGGACGGAGCTTCTTCGTCTTGCACCATCGGAACAATGGCCAAACCTCCTACAACGGTTTGTGGGAGATGATTATATCCGTCTGCTTCTTCGGCGGGAGACACCGCGGGCGTGGTTGTCGTGGACTCGGTCGTGTACGATCGATCTGTTTCTTCGTCTACCGACCGGGCACCAAGATGGCGCTTCGCCGTCGTGGCCGCTCGTACTAAATGTTGGGTACTATGTTCGTCGCAGGAAGACACCGGACTGGTGCTCAAGGAAGTCGTGTCCCGCGCCGTCGTCGACGCAAAGCTCCCGATTTCATCACTCGGGGTCGCGAGACTCGAGGATGGCGTCAGCTGGGTGCTGTCCGCCTCCAACAAAATGCCGGATTTCTTTCGCGCGAAATCCAGGCTCTCCGCGAGGTTGTCCGGCGGGAGGAGCGACCGCCGCCCGTAGCGGCCGCGCAGAAATTTTCCGCACGCGCTGAGCAGGAACAGCAGGCCCGCGCACCCGCAGATCAAAGCGCCGGTGGCGAACGCCGTCGGCACAATTGGCGCCACCACCACACCGTCCCGGCCTTTACCGCGACACGGGTGCTGCGCGCTGGCGCGGATCAGGGTCGCGGCCGCGCGGTTGGCCGCCCCCACGCCCGCACTGGCCACGGCGCCGCGGACGATTTTCCCGACGGTCTCCGCGTCGTAGGCCTCCAAGACTGCGGCCAGCAGGTCGTTCAAACTTGCCCGCAAGGCGTTCTCCAGCGGGTCCTCCGCCCAGCTGGACAGCTGCTCCAGCCGCACCGCGGTGGGAGTCAGTGTCACGAACAGCCGCAACAACTCCGCGCCCACGCTCCACGTCGAGTCCTCCGTCTGCGTTATTTCGGCCACCGCGGACGTGCGAGCCCGTGCGAGAACCGACTTCGCCTTCCTCATTCTGTTCCACGAAGTTGTACTAGGAACCACAGATTGCGGGTCGGTCTCGTTCAACAGCGTCTGCAGGAGGCAATGCGGATCTTGTCGCTGCAGCATGTCCAGGCCTTCGAAGCGGTTGGCGAACATACCTAACGCCAGTCGCGCATCCACCTCCACATTCTTCAAAACAATGGAGAATTGCACGTCCTGCAAATCCAGGGCCCCGGCAGTCAACAACGGTCGAGAGGTGGACGCGGTGGATGAACTGGGAGTAGTAGCATGTTTCTCCGTTTTTCCGGAGGAAGTCTCTGTAGGCCGCGATGATGATGATGACAACATGTCGGTCGTTGCTACACGTCGCGTGCCGTTTTTTACCATCTCCGAAAACAGAAGATGATCCTCTTCATGAGAATTGCCCAGAGCTGACGAAAACAGCGCGCCAAGTCGCATTTTGATCGTGAGGTCGCTGATACCGACGAGGCCCGACAGCGATTGGTTCGTGAAGGAGGAGCTCACCTGTGCGAGGGTGCCGAGTCCGAGCTCCACCAAATTGGGCCGCAGCTGGACAACCGTGGGCGGACGCGGCTCCTGGCCGCCGGAACTAGTACCACCCACCGCGGGCAACGCAACGTCAAACACGGTCGTCGGGCGAATCGCGAGCGTGCGGGCGTCGGGTAGCAGATTGTGCAACTCCCTGTCCGCCTGGTCGACGTCGCGGCCAAAGAGTTGCTCCAACCACCGCTGTATCAACTGCAAATATGTCTGGGTCTGGATGAGTCCGGGCTTGTCATGCACATTTTGCATGGCCCGTGCGGTCTTTGATGCTGGTGCTAGCATCACAGTTTTTTTGAGAGCTCCGTGATGCTAATTACGCATGAGAAATGCCCTCTCCGCGTGCCAAGAACTGACTCCTCTTGCTGCTCGTGCAACACAGATATTTTTATTAGAATCCGCAGACAGCATTACAAGTTCTACTCTTCCAGACCCAGACATATTTGCAATCCATACGTTGAACCAACGGAACTAGCGGCGCTGAGTACAAATCGGCGAAATCGTACAGCTTTTCCCGCTCTACTGCGGCGTAAACCGGAGTTTGCTCTTCGAACTGCGGCAGCATGCTGGTGTCGTCTGCCGCGAGGGAAAACAGAATCATCGCTAGCTTCGTTTGGAACAATGTCGAAACGGTGGCCATCTGGTCACCCAGCTGCGTGCACAGCAGCGGGGTCGCGATCTCGTTGATACGGGCTTGGTACACGGGCGCCTGGTTGCGGTTCAGCTCGTCAATCAAGGTCGCGTTCTGCGATCCGAAAAACTCAACCCGCGCGACGTTGGGGCTGATGCTGCAGCGCTGCAGGTCGATGGATCCCGGAAGAAGCTTACTGGCACCGGGAAAGGGTTCCGCGTTCCGCACACGCAGCTCGATCGCCGCACTTGCACCGGAAGCGATGAGCCGCATTTGGAATTGGGCGGCAAAGTTGCCGTGGTCCACAACCTCCGGGAGCGCCAGGCCGGACGACGCGACGGGGCTGTTCACCTCCATCTTTGCGGAGGATCCGCGCGCAGCCTGGCGTCTCGCTGCTTGTTGCAAGTGCAGGGTGCACTTCAAATCCACGGTCCGAACATCCAGGTCGAAGTCCAATATGGTGCGATTTCGGCTGACGCGGGGACGCAGGGCTATGTCGTCGATCGAAAGGGAGTCGCACTGCCCCCCGGTCAGCTCGCCCACATCCGGAAGTTGGCCCCCGGGCGGAATTGAAATTGCGACGGTTTGCAGCCACTCCCGAAGATGCCGGCTGCTGCTCGCACGGGGACCTGCCGCAGAGCCAGTGGCCCTCCCGAGGGAGGGCAGCAGAAGCATAAAAATCTGGGCACGAAATACCCAACGCATCTCGGACTGGTGAGGCTCAGGATGAAGATGTAAACGCAATCAAAATAAATGAAAAAGCGCGAGCACTATTTTTACTAGGAGAAGTACAACAATAATCGCACAGATACCCAATTAACATGCAGTCATTTTTCGACCAAAGGCGCGGTGTAAGTAATCAATTTGAAAGCATGTCAACAGGAGCCGACCCATGATACATACGGAGTAACCGCTTGCTAGCGAGATGTGATCCCGTCAAGCCTCCTTGACCGCAAGATCGATTTCAGTTAGTCTCAATGCGTGCTATTTCTCTCGCGCATCAATTTCGGACACATTCGTCCAATTCTGTATGATCTAGCAGTGCTGGACCGAGCGCAGCAACTCGATAGCATTCGACCGGACAGGCCACAAGCTTCCCAGTGGTCCACCCGCTGCTGGACACTGCAACCGAACCTCGAAGAACCTAGGGCTCTCATGCTCACTTGATGAAGCCCTTGCGCTAATATCGCCTATGCTTCACCCAGTCCAAAGTTATCATGCTGGTACTCTTTTCCAAGCCCTTTAACTGATGAGAATTTGCATTCGTGTGCATTGGAATAAACAGATGAGAAACAACTCGTTTTTTTGTTGTTGTTAGGTGTACAGTTATTTTTCATAGCTATCATGTATTCTAGATGGTTTTCCTCTTTGTTATTGTGTACACGTCATGCTTCTGTCGGAGATGTGCGTCTGCAATCGGTTTTGATAGTCTTAGTACTTACCAATGCTTTCAAACAAATGTCGCCTAGCATTTGCAAAATTCTTAGATGACTCGGACACGACTGAAAAAATCATCGAATTTACAGATAAAATCACTTCTCTCGTCTTACTTCAACCACCAGAGATGCAACGAAGCTATGAAGCAATAGCATGCATTCTGTGCTAATCGCGCAATTTCACAAGTTCGCAAGGAACGCTAGCTCTTCGTCGTCTGGGAGCTCTTCTGCCTGCACGACTCCGGTAAACTCCTCGATGGAGACCGGCGCGCCACTCCTGGTTTTGACGGCCTCGGCGCCGGCTCGACTTTTCATACTGTTCAGCTGGTTCAGATCAATGCCTGCGTACAGCATGGCCAGACTCCTAGGGAAAAATGTGCGTTTATGGCCTCGCCTACAATCATATTGCAAACACATGCGTTGGCTTCGAAGTCTAGTAAAGTTAGTATACAAAACCTCTGCGAAAGAAATGGAAGTGACATGCACGTCGGAGTAAGTTCATCGAGAAAGCATGGCGCATGATCAGACTAGAGTCAAAAACGCGGTGGTGGATTCAGAATGCTTATCGTCGCTGTCGGTAGCTGGCTGGGCCGCGCCCTTTGTAACGCAGTTGCTGTAGTGTCGTGAATATTTCAACAGGAACCTCGTCATCACACTGCATGCGGAGCGAAAACAAATTCCTGAAGATCATCGAGAAGTCGAAGGCAGTAGAGTATCTTTGTGCTGCTTGTGTAACAAAAAAATCATGCAGCAATATCTTGTACCAGTATGCTTTGTAGAGGAGCCGTCTCCGCAGCAAAGCGATCTCTTTGCGGTAGAAGTGTTTGAGCCCATCTCGCTCTTTGAACTGTGGCTTTCCTCCTTCTCCAAGAACCACTTCTCCATTTGCGTCTTTGGATACGAAGCGAAGATGCTTCGCGCGCATCATCTCGACGACGCAGGCGAATCCTGGATTCGCAAACTGGTACTGAAGCCAGACAAGGCAGGTCTGTTATTGTTATGATTATGGACACTATAAGAGAAAAAGTATGGTGTACATCCTCCAAAAATTATCATTACTATATTGATTCATGAGCATGGCGTGGCTTCAAGCTCAACGCCGACTGCAGTACGCTGCATGACAGCCAACCGCACACCCACATATTCTACTTCTAGCAAAAGAAAAATAACGATATCTCGACCACCACGCATCTTATTTTCACGAGCTTAAGCTGCTGCCCGTTCGTACCGTGAAGAGCTTCTGCACATTCGGGTTGCTTCGCAACAACTAGCGTATGATAGGAAAAATGTCCGCAGCCCGACGCTTCGTTTGTTTCCAGAGCAATGAATGCAGCACGGAAATTTCACCATGTTCACATTGATGTCGATGATAATCAAAATGATCTATCTGCATGACCTCGTCTGATTCTTCCATACGGAAAACGAATTCTTCCTACGAAAGCCGAATGCTATCGGGTGCGCGTTTCAGTATCTATCGTATTCTGCTTCTTCTCGGGGTCCAGCATCTCAATCAAGACCGCCATGTCGTAGTCGGTCAAGGTGTGAATCTTTGAAGCGCTGTACTTCTTGGTTGCGCCGATATGCACGTGGAAGTTTTGAACAATCCATTTATGCGACGATTTCCCAGCACGTAAACACACAGAACGGCTCCCCTTTCGTGGTGTGAAACATTTTCTTTAAATGCCTCTAGTCTGACCTCATGCAGCCTATCAGTTGGTCACAAGTCTAATGCAAATAAGTAAAGAAGGAGCCAAAGACCCAACTACGAACAGCAGTAACAGTTTTTGTGCTGCGGAAACAATATTGCGTACTTCCATGGAATTCTGCTCATCTTCCGTGACGTACAAGAACGCCTGTGCTTCAGGATGCTTCGGGAAAATCATGGCGTCATACATCCAGGTCCACTGTTCCAGCAGCTGTAATATTTTTTTTTGTTTTTGCTCCCGAACATGACGACGAAAACACATCTCACACGAGGAATGAAAGAGCACCTTGATGAAATCCCACGCAACTAAGCGAGCTTTTAGCTCGCACGCGACAAAAGTCCTTACTCAACATGATGATTTGAACATAGTACAGTTTGGAGCGGAAGACTCAGGTGGACCATGTCCCAGAAAAGATCCTGGTCGTACTTGGCCACTTGGTCCTTGCGTTGCGTCGCTTGCTCTGGGATGCGCTTTTGCGATTGCGACGACGAGTGGGACGAGGCCATCTTGACCAATGAGTATGAGTTGCAACTTTTTTTTTTTTTTTTTTTAAAAAAAATTGCTGACAAAAGGCATATAAAAGTCGCAATAACGACGTAGAAGGATGGCTATGGCTTCTGCTTTTCTTGTCGTCCTCAAAACTTCGTTCTTCCTCTTGTGTTCGTTTAGCATGCGCCCGCTGGATTTGAACTCATTGGGTTGCGTGTTTGCAGTTGGAGATACAACCCCCAGGTCCTTGCTCAAATGTGCAATTCCTCATTTGCACGGTCCCTCACATTCACGTCTGCGGTGGAACGGACGCCCGGGATGACACTGCCTGCTAACTCCTCCCCCCACTGTAATCGGGGTTCGGAGAAAGCAATTCAGCGCCAAAAGTCAGTTGTAACTTCTAATTTTCAAATCTTAAGGTTACTAATTGTATAGCCATACCACCTCTCAAGCTTACGGTCCCGCACTTCTACACGGCCAGTCTCAGTGCCATGATGACTTGATCATAGCGCAACCACCCAGCTCACACGCACACTTCACTCCCATTGAATTCGTTTCTGCAGCATCGAGCTACGCCGTTCCCTATAACAAGTAAATAAGCAACGGAAATGCCAAATAATGGCGTCAGTGAGACTGCACAAACTTGGGCAACTTACGGCGGGCCCGATAGCCTGGAGCTTCAGCAGGATGAAGCATCCAGTGGCAACGGCAGGGAGACCAGGCTACATAGTTGCTTTTACTTCATATCGCAATGCAAAATTACTGGAGACATATCCTCTCACTTTAACACCCCAATAAACAAGGCACAGGTGGGCCGATCTTGATACTCACACATAAAGAACGACGGAGAACATCGAATTTGTATGTAATGCGGTAAAAAAAAAGTAGCGGCGGCTGCTGCTTTGACTTCCTGTCACTGATTTTCTTCAAAAAACTCGATCTTGTGCCAAAAATGTTTGTAGAAATTTTTTATGTTGCAATGTAAAATCAAATTGAAGTTTTCTGTAGAAACTTTTTACACGGCTGTGTTTCCATTCGTATGATTGTCCTGTCGTTTTGGGATCAGCAGCGACACAGGAACCAGCCGAATGGGCTGGAGCGGTGGCAGCTGGAGAGTGCGCACCGGAATGGTCAGCGGAGTCCGCTGCAACATCACCCGGGTCAGCGGCGTGAACACCGGTCGCGGCATAGTCGGAATGACCACCTGCGCACAACGGAACCGCAGGTCTAACTCCACCTGCACGTCCTCGAGGTTGGCTTTTTCCTCCCTGCTCTCCACCTCCTGCTCGTCGCTCGGCTTGTTGACGTCGTGGTCGTCATCATCGTCGTCGTCATCCTCGATGGATGACAGCGACGGTTCACGTTCTTGCGGGGCCAGGAACGAGTCCTCCTCGTCCTCCATCGGAGGGATTACGCCAATCCCCAGTAGTGGTTCAGCCTGTGCACCTGGGAGTAGATTTGATGTTGTTCTATTTTTAATAAAAGTTAGTCCTAATCGTCAGTGGACGCATGTTCCATCGCATGGCATGCCAACAAAGAACACTATACGCACCAATACTTACCCTCGTCGTTCTGCGCCGCACTAATACTCTCCTCGTATTGACAGTACGGTAAGCCTTTCGCTATCCTATGTAAAAACGTCCCCACCCCAAATTTGTCCTACAAATCTGCATGATGCTTCCAAAACTTCTCGGGCGGAGCCCCACGAGAAGAGTGATTTCCTTGCGTTTTGGAATTTGCGATACTCCAATCGGCATGACATGCTAGATCTTTGATGCTGCTAAAATAGCTAAAGAGGATGACACTACGAGACCAAACCTGTCATGCAGAACACCCAAAGCTGGCTGATTTGTCTAGCAGATTTGCTATCTTGACTCTGTGGCGGAGAGGTTTTTGCTAATGATATCCGTTCGCATCTCGGAGTATCCTCATGAAAGGCGCGCCCTAGTACCACGTCCGAAAATAATTGCACTGCTGGCAAGTAAGAAATATAGCGATGTTACCTTAGATTTCGATGTGCACAGCAAAGAAAAATGGTGTAGACTCAGCGAAGCCGCGAAACGAACGGCGCAGAACCGTTAGACGGGGTCAGACGGTTCAAGGCAGTATCTCAAAAAGTTTTGATGGGTGCACTTCGACTTCATTGCACCTACACAGGATATGAGCAACGGGACCACACGACGATACGTGTCACAGGCACGGTCTGACTACTTAAGGGAGAGCTGAAGCGAAGTCTTCAGCGGTAGCCAACAGTAGAGCTGAAGCGAAGTCGTCAGCGAGAGCAATGCCTAAGGCACATCTTCTAGGACAAGAAGCTAACATGCGACCTTGACTGTTCGTTCAAGCTTACAGAGGGAGCCCTTGTTCTGCTCAATATTTTGTGACACTACTCATGTGTTGTATGCAGCAGGAATTGGCAAACGAAACTGAAGCGCCAAAGACAATATTACAAAACGCGCATCTCTGTTGGGGTCATCAATTACTATCAAAATTTTTAAATTGTTGTAGCGGAGCAGGAGGTGCTAAGCTAGACAGTGTCAAGAGAAAATATATAATGTACATAGCACGACCTAAAACAAGTACAAGCACTGCAACAGCATTGTCGATGCAAATCGTGACTCCAACTGCAAGGGTACTCTTTAACGACATTCCATGCCAGCGAAGACCGCAAGTCGATCTTTCTTCCCATGAGGTCTTTCACAACAACGTGAAACAATCTACAACCCAAAGGGCTGCCGCCGTCCTTCGCAAAGCGACGCCGGAACGAACAGACGTGTTCGTGAAGCACTAAACAAACCACGCACCCGCTCGCAGCAAAGCGAGCAGACCCCGAAGCAAAAGCGAGAACGGCCGAGTAGGCCAAAAACAAAATCCTAGACGGGCAAGCGCATCCCATAGAGTAAGTTGCACTGTCCGAAGAGCAAAGAGACTCGTCTGGTCGAGCCTGTCGCGTGACGGATTCAGCAAAACTGTGCAGGCAAGCACGTGAAAAGCGACGCAACAACTTCACCTGGCGAAGAAGCCGTCGCGCTTTATCGTTGTGTTGAGCAACTAAAGAACTCGCTGTGGGCGGAGAAATGCCCCAGGCAGCTGGGCACAGAAATCCCAGGGGCGGTCTAGGACGGCATCGAGCGGAGGCCCTCCGCTCGTGTGCTAGAAAGCCAAGCGGACTCCTGTGCCCCGAGAGGCAAAGCTGCAAGACGGCTCGTTTATTTTGTCACCACCACGGCGCGCGGTGCAATTATTTACGGAGGAAGATGGGGCGGCCCTGGCTTTTTTTCCGATACCCAAAGCGCCACAAGTAAGGCAGTGCCCTGCACCTCTGGAGACAGCTGGGACATCTCTGTAGACAGGTGGGCCGTGGACCTGAGCAACTTCGACAGCAAACGCCTCCCGAACCACCTCTTGTGTTTGGTATATCCTGAGCAAAAAGATCCCCACCCGATAGTAAATCAAAATCTGCAACACAAGAAGCCTTTGCTTTAACTTTTGGATGATGTGCATGACAAGTTTCTACCTGCAGCGCCGCCCTGGTTAGCATGAACAGCCGCATCATAAAGATGCTTGTCTATCCTGTTGAAAGCATTACAAGTCCCAGAATCCGAATACAAATCCCTCTTATGCGGATGCGCATTACAGATGTTTCGGCAAAAGACAACTATGGGGTGGTTTGTCTTTGCCCAGGATAGACTCCGCGTCACTGCTATGGAACTGCACCACCCGCCTCCCCCGCGAAGTCACCACCTCGAGCAATACTACCGTATCTGTTAGGCACCACGTTCCGCATCCTTCGGTGGTCAAATTCTGCTTCTTTTGCCTAGCACATACTGTCGATGCGCGCTGTTTTTTTTTGTGCCGCATTCACATGCAGTTTCCATCGAGCCACCTGGTGGCCCTGGCAATGTTTACCAACCAACGGGCAAAACGTTGCTTCCTTTCGTCACCCCACAAAAGATTACCCGTACATCACGCAGAGGCAGACGACATTTAGTTTCTCGGTCTGATTCTGCCTGTGGACTGTTCAGTTCCATTGATGTTCAGGAAATGCTCGCCAAATACTGAAGTTTTGCGGCCTCGTCGAAGGCATGGGGTCAACGACTTCAGAAATGAGGCCAAAAAAAGGAAGGCAGTGGACGATGCCGCTTTGGAAGAGGCGTTGCCACCTGAGGTGAGGCGGAGATGCAGAAACGTCAATGCAATTTTTGACGCTAGACTGCACGACACGGAGCCCCTGCAGGGGGCGATAAAAATGCGATCAGTTTCGCAAACTAGCCGCACTTTTGGACGCGCAAATCGAGGCCATGCTGCGAAGCCTGGAGCACAAAGAGTGGGCTATCAAGCGGGGCTTGCCCTCATCCAAGTCATGCTCTTTCTGGCCTCAAAATGGGTGAATCGTTGAGATCGACATGCTCGAGGCAGAGCGTCGCCCAATAAATCCCAAGGGATAGACCCAAACTGGCCTCACTTTTGAAGCGAGACACCGCGGTAGGGGGCGGTCCTGCCTCAATATGAAGAGGAGCACCCTGCGCACTTGGGGGCTTGGGCGGATTGCTAGCTCAGTCGCATTCCTGCGCCCATCCCCAATGAGGTGGCGCCAATCAACATACCCCGAAACATCTAATACTTCCGCTATTTGAGAAACAAAAGCGCAGCGCTTTACATACTTGGTTTCCATTTTTTCGTGACGAAGTGCACAGCCCGAGGCGGTGACTTTGAAGAGAAGGGGGGGCGGTGCAGTCTCATAATGGCCGCCCTTAGCTCGACTCCTGCAGTAATTTTTTTTTTTCACGCATGACATCCTTCTCCGCTCGTTTATGTTGCGCGCATGAAAGCATAACTACCCGACCGCGAGAAGATGAAAAATAGAAGAGCGCACAAAGTAACAATACTCAGCGCTCTTGCGAAGACTTTGCCAAATGGCGTCACGCGGTCTGTGACTTGGCCTTGTACGGCACGGGCGTAGGAGTTGTTTAGTGCCCCGCAGTATCAATTGTAAAAATGTCTGGGTCTAGAAGATTCTAAACTTGTGATGCTGTCTCTGGATTCTATAAAAAAATTTGCATTGCATGACCGGCGTCAGAACTCCAGTTTGTGCTACCCGGAGAGGGCATTTCTCATGCGGTAGAGGCATCGCAAAGGCCTTTAAAAATCTGTCATGCTAGAGCATGCATCACAGACATCATGAGTCTTCCAAAATATGCATGACAAACCTGCCAAGCTTCCAGACTCAGACATTTTTACATTTGATACGCATGCGTGCAGCAAATCTTGTGCGCAGGTCGTGGCCGCTGCTTTTATCCTGTTCAAAAACTTACCCACCCAATTTATCGTACTCAATTTTGCTACTCACAATAATCCAGAACCTATCTTGTGAGTCAGACTAACTTTCCCTATCCGCCCCAACCACTAGGGCGACCTTTACGGCCTACGTGTCGCCATTGATCAGATCCTAATACTTAATTGTGAAACGCCGGATGCACCGAGGATACCTGGGACGCACTACGGTGACGATCGATCCCGAGTAACGCCTACTCCTCGTGGTGTTCCAGCGTTATGCGTACTCAGGTACATGGTGAACCAGCACCAGGCATAGTGCGGACATGACAACTACCATGATGCCACACGTGTGACTCGGTAAGCGTGTGAAGACCTCAGAAAGATTCCAAACTCCAAAACGCGCCAACACCTTCGTGACTCTGCAACGAAGGAATAAATCTAAAAATACATACACTCAAAAACAGTTGAGCCAAAATGCAAAAACTGCTGCGCTACCCCGTCCAGCAAGTCGTGTACCACTACCATCCCATCTGGCTGGCGCGGACCTTCCCCTGCGTCCCTCCTTGCGCAGCTGGTCCTTCCAAGCGGTTGTCCTAGTGCAAGTCATTGTGCCCCCGTTGCTCAAGACGTGCGCCCCTGTTTGACGAAGCCACCCCGTTCGCCGATCGCTTCAGTTGGCCTAAGCTAAAACTTCGATATAGACGCCGCGGTCGCGCCAAGAAGAAGCGTAAAGAGGCGACTGCTGTTCTAGTTCTGTGCAGGTCGTCCGCCTAAGCGTTGCTTCTCGACTTTCGCGAAGGAGAAAGCCAGAATCTTGGAGTCGCGCATCAAATGCACGCCTAACTGCAACCACTACGCGATCGTGATCCCCGTAACAACAAAAGAAGCGCGAGAGCCTCCTAGCTATTAGGGATCAGGACCTCGTGCGAGGCGCCGGGTGCGCCCGTGCCAGGGACACAGTAGCACACCAAAGCGCGACTAAATCCATGTCAGACGCAAGCAAGCTTTCCTGCTCCAGTAGAGCTCTCAAAGGGCGGCCCGGGGGCAACGCAGAACGGCGACGATAGCGCTGCCGCGCGCGTGGCTTCTTGGGTCGCGAAGCAAAACCGACTGAAGCCCCTCGTCAGTTTGGGCACGCACGACAAGGCCGCGAACTGCAATTGTACCGGGAGCCGCATCCGCGGGCGGCGCAGAGTTACACCATGACATGTCTCGGGCTGGGGTTTTTGACCAGGATATGGAGCGCGGTGATCCCTTCCAGCTCTTCCACCATTTTGTAGTACATATATGCACCCGGCCCGGTTCTTTTTGATTATCAACGGCGACTATGTCTGGGTGTGGAAGAGCCCAAGTCTGTCATGCACAATTTGCATCATCCATGATATCTGTGCTGTACGCTCTAGCACCACAGATTTCCTGCGGCCTCCTTGATGCCTATCCCGCATGAGACACGCTCTCTCCGCATAGCACCAGCCGGGCCCGTCTTCCTGATCACGCAAGACAAATTTTACTAGAATCCAAAGACAGCACCACAAGTTGCACCCTTCCAGACCCCGACACAACTGCACCGCATAGGGACCCAGCCACCGTAATGGCCTTCTTGACAGCGCGCCGTAGCCGCGGAGTGTCAGGAACAAAGAACGTTATGGGTGTGTCAGGATCGAAATCGGTAAAGTTGAAATGATTTGCTATGCATAAAATGCAACCCACCAAGTGCCTGTCTTGCAGAGTAAGCAAGGTAGGAAGATTGTAAGGCTGTTGAGGGGTAGAATTGGGGCTGCTAAAGTTGCATGACAAAAGACGTATTCCTTACCTAAACAGCAAGCCAGACACAGGCTGGATCTCGGCTCTACCCAAACTTGTCATGCGCTGCTTGGCAACTGGGTTGCAAATGGCATCCATTTTATGCATGGCCAACCGTTTCGGCTTTGACGATTTCGATCCTGAGAGTTCCATAAATGTATCTTCGTGCGTATGAGAGAGTACATCCCCCCCTCCAAATGACCTCGCTTCGATACTTATTTGGTTGGCAAAGCATGGGCTTTTATGTTACCAAGTAGCGCGCTTTATTGTCCGGGCCTGTTAAGAGTTTAAATCAGCAGCATCTATTACGTTGCGTTTTGTGCGAAGAAAGGTCCCCGGGGGCGGAACTAGCCAGGCGGAAAAGGCAGCCCCACTCGTGAGGGGGAGTGACCATCTGAAATGGTGTTTTGCCTGTGAAACGTGGCCAGCTATGGCCCAAAAGTGACGAGGCAGAACGAGAACTAACAGCGACACCACCTGGGAGGTCTTTCGGAACACCTGGATCGGCATCATAAAATCGGGACTGGGGGCTCAAATAGCCATCCAGCCCCGCCGGCAAAAAAGGCTCTCGGCAGCACGTCTCCATCGCTAATCTACATGCCAAGGACTCAATCCCCGACAGGAGTACTCACCCTCATAAGAGGAAGCAAGCAGGCCCATTACGTCGGGGTTAGCCTTCAAAACATGGCCACTCCTTTTGCTTTTTTGAGATTTGCACATTTCGAGATGAAAAAGTTGCCGACTTCGCGGACAAAAGGTAAGAGAACTGGATCAGGAGGAGCGGCCCCTTTTGGCTCATTTCCTTTGAGCCAGACTGCATGCGACAGGCCCGATTTGCCAGGCTAAAAATGCAGTAACTTACACCAAGTAACCCCCATGCTATGGGGCAATCCCCACACAAAAAAAAAAAAAAACGCGCCCCCCCCCCCCCACGAGGGATGGTGGGCCTCTAGCATGGGAATTAGCTGCCAAAGCCTGCCCATCCTTTACCACATTTCTGAGCTCGCTAATTTGTCGCTGATTTGGTGACGCGAAAGGCCGACGCTTGACGAACATGCGCCGGAAATTTTGGAAGCAAATAGCCTATACACAGAGGGTGCGCGCGCCCTCTCAGTAAATCATTTCCAACCGTATTGGAGAGCATGGCACGAGCGTGGTGGCTTCGCTTGGTTGCGTATGCCTTGTATGAAGGCGTTGAACCATCTTCCCCGCTTGCCACTTATTGCAGCATTCACAGACGATACCACTGCTGTGAAACTCCTCCAACAGGCACTACAAATGCCCAGCATCTTGCGTAGTGCTCCGCCTGCAGCTGTTGTCGCCCTAGCTGTGGCTATTGCCCAAATTTGTAATGCTAATAAGTAACAAGTAATCATGGATGTGACTCCTTCTTGTGGCCAGCATTCAAGAGCCCCCGGCCCATATGAACCAGCATTCAAGAGCACTGCTTGGCTTTGGGCAAAGTAAAAGCGCGATACCCCTTTCGGAACCAAAAAAGTAAATGGCCAAGCGTGGCCATTTTGTGGGGGGGGGTCGTACCTTCATACTGGGCGTGACAAATTTCAAAGTGGCCGCGGATACCCTTCGGCAGTAGTCTTGCTATTTTTGGGTAGGTATCAAATGCAAAAAGGTCTGGGTCTGGAAACTTGTGATGCAAGGAAGGGAATAGTGAGCTCACTGCAATGCGCTGCCAAGCATGGCAAGTTTTTTTTCATGGTTCTGAGTTGCGTACTCTGCATGAGAAGCTGCGTTTTTGCATGAAAGGGAGCAGGAGCTATTCGCGGCCACGCAGTAGAGGGCTCAGAGTCATGCCAGACTAGCATGACAAATCCCGGAATCTCCCAGACCCAGACATATTTGCATTTGATAATAGGCATATCTCGGGTTAAAGTGAAATTCCTCCTTCAGAAGATCCGCGGCCGATTTCGCGCTGGTGCCGTGTAGCTTAAGATTTGTCTGCATTGCAAATATGTCTGGGTCTGAAAGCTTCCAACTTGTGATGCTGTCTCTGGATTCTGAAAAAATTTGTGTTGCATGACCATCAGGAGGAGTCCAGTTTGCGTTACTTACGCGACCAGCGCACTTCTCGCGCAGAAAAGGCAAAGCACTCTAGAAATCTGTGATGCTAGGTCATGCAGTGAGGCATCAGGTTCCGGGGTCATGCAAATAGACACGACAATCTTCCAGATCCACACATATTTGCACTCGATAGCGGCAGTTGTCCAGGCGCTGCCCCCATTCTTCTACGCACAAAAGGTCCATGGCGCGCTGCTCTCCGGTAAGACTATCGGGATCGCCTATCCTATTTAAAAACGTCCCCACCCCATAGTTGTAATGCTAAAGGAATTGCAGCACACTTTGCCCCCCCCTCTGCCCCAGGCCGCAGATGGCTTGACACGCAGGGGGGGTAGGTCAGGCGGACACAGAAGTGCCATCACCATCATCTCCCGGCCGCTAACCAACTTTTCGCAACCCTATAGTTGTAATGCAAATCTGCCTGCTGAAAATGTTTCTCATGCGGAGCCCCATGAGAAGCATTTTCCAGTCGTGTTTTGCAATTTGTCATGCTCCAATCAGCATGGTATGCTAGATCTGTAATGCTGCTGAGCTAGCTCAAACAGCACTACACTACGAATCCAAATTTGTCATGCAAAACAGCCAAAACTTGTGGATTTGTGTAGCCGATTCCCCATCTTGACTATGGTGTGGGGACGTTTTTACTCAGGATATCACCGGCGAAGGCGAGCTCCTCCATATTGTCGAAAACCCCGTCGGCCAATGCGAGCTCGTGCACCAGCGCCTGCTTCTTGCGCTCGATGATTTTTTGTTCTATTTCCTCTTGTCGGCGCTTCAAAGGTGAGAGGAAACTTGATATTCGTCGCAGTGGTGTAGGAAGTAGCGGGAGAGCAGTTAACGCCGCATACCGCTCGCGCTTCGTCGCGCTGGGCAGCGTTGGACATGGCGACGGCGCTGCAACCGCATCTGTCTTCCTTTTTCTCAGACGAGATTTTGCGGCGCCCATGATTCTAATTGCAGGTAGTGCTGTGCTATCACGTTGAGTTGTGCAGAAAAATTAAGAGTCTGTGAGTTCTTTTGTGGTGCAAAACAGTTTTTTTGTGAAAAATATACAAATCACACACTAAAGACAGCGACATAGCGCATCGACATTTTCAGATAGGAAAGTGGAATGGTCTTGGCTCGTCGTCCTCGTTTTTTCGCAGTTCTTTAGTCGTATAAACAGTTTTTTCGCGAAAAAGAGGAAAGCACAATTCTCAAAAACAAAAGACCCGACTTTTGGGAATACATCAATCAATGCAATCCGGCTGTGTTACGAGTATGTATTCGCACCCCTTTCCCACCGACGACTGATTCTTTTGTGAGAACCGACTTTTGAGAATACATCAATCAATGCAATCCGGCTGTGTTACGCGTATGTATTCGCACCCCTTGTTTTCCCACCGACGACTGATTCTTTTGTGAGAACCGACTTTTGGCAATACATCAATCAATGCAATCCGGCTGTGTTACGTGTATGTATTCGCACCCCTTTCCCACCGACGACTGATTCTTTTGTGAGAATCACACAAAATGGAATAACGGAGAGACGTAGAAACAGATAACGCACACGCATTTGCTCGCTCTTTCAAAAACATAAACAAAAAACGTAATGGCTCACCAAAAAGAATCAATTAAATTTTGCAGCACAAGCACAACTACTTCTGAAGCCACTGCATTTCCGGGCAGGCAAAGCTGCCGGTCCACGCCGACCATGACAATGAATCGGGAACAGTCGTCACTGTCTGACCAATCCATTTTTCATCACATTGATGTGGTCACGGCAGTATTATCTTTCATATTCATACCCTACTTCTACTCCAGTAGCAGCATGACACCCAATAACGATGCTGAGTACAAGTAGATATGTTGGTTTGTGGTTGGTTGCGCTGAAGTGCTCTTAAACATCTGTGTTGACCGTTGGACACGGAAGGTCGTTCGCATTTTCCAGCTCCGCACTAATCACATTGTATGCGACAGAGAGGGAGGGACGTATCATCTTCGAAGACCTCGAGGTAAACACTATTTCTGCCATGTGTGTATTTTTTCAGATTCTGCGGGTCCGGTCGGTCATATTCGTAATTCCTCAGCAAGAAATCAATATAACAGGAAAGCAAAAAATTCCGAGTACAATAAGCGAAGCATACTGAACTTGCATTTTGCAACATAAAACAACAGCCCGTGCCTATGGCACCTCAAGCGGCGCTAACCGATCGTCGTTCAGTCTCTCCGGTCGGACTAGGAGCGCAGGTGGCTGCTGTGCTATGAAAGCCAGCTCCGGATCCACAAGGACTTGGGTTCGTAAATATTCCGCCGCATCCTCGCCTAGCGCACCCGCTACAAGTGGACACAGGGCATCGCGTACGCTCTGCATGTCCGTTTGAAAGCGGTGAAGCAGCTGCTTGCACTTCTCCTGGGGCGACAAGGGCTGTTCGCCAGAGCTGGGACCGACGAGGCACTCGCTAACGTGCGGTAAGGCAGCGCAGAAGCGGCCACATGCGTTCCCCGCGGACGCATCGGATACGTCACGCCACAAACCTTTAGTGACGTTGTACAGCATGATGGCGAACTGGTAAAGATCTTGGTGGAACAGATCGACTGTGATGCCGCCTGTGCCAAGTTTGCTGAAAGCAAAACAGAGGCTGGGGCTGACATAGGGAAAGGTGACTGGGATGGTTTGAGCGGATTTTTTCGTGTACGGTAGTGCTCGCGGGACTGCCGTTGTGCAGAGCGCCTTTGAGTACAGCACGGGCGCCGCTCCTCCACAAAAAACACGCCGGAAAAACGCAGCGTCGTCGGTTTGGGTGATGTTGACGATTCGCTTCGAGTGTTCCAAGTCAATGATGGTCACTTTGTCCTTTTCGTCATAGCAGGCGTTCGGCTGACGAAAGTCATTATGGACTACACCATTTTTCCAGACGTGTTTCACTGCGCGCCCTATCGCCAACAGAATGGGCGCGAGCTTCTCGAACCCGAACTCATCCTCCTGGTGGTTCAGCACATATTTTTCGATCGTTTCGCCTGCGTGTTCCATCAACAGCCCTGTGTACAGCTTGCCGTTAATCCGGAATGACGCGAGGCGTTCGTTCGCCGTCACTCCCTGCACTCGCTCGCCGTCCCGGTCCCTGTGGTGCGCTTGCTTGTAAGCGAGTGCTACAACGAGGGCGCTGTCGTCATCCTTGTTCAGGTCGTGCAACATTTGGGCTTCGTGTTGCAACAGTGCAGCCTCTTCGTCCTCGTTAACCTGGATCGGCCTTTTTTTCTGCTGGTTCTTACCGTCGACAAAGACGCCCTGCCCGTCGAGGCCAGCAAGGGGCGCATTTCCGGGATTCGCCTGCGGTGCACCATCACCTTGCACTTTCATGCTCCCGGTCCTCGTGTCTTTCTCACTCGAACTTGCTCCTTTCCCCTCGCCGCACTGTTTTGTGTCGCCAGGCGCTGCAGCGGACAGGGGGCCGGCTTGCTTCGTCCCCGCCTTCTGCTGCTCGCTCGACAACAAGCCGTCGCGCGCATCCTTCCCGGACAAGACGACCGTGTCGCGCCCGCTCTCTTGGACGATGTATCCCTTGGCCACGTAGCGCACGTTTCTCCGTTTCTTGGTCGTCACAATGAGCACATGGACCTGCCGGCATGGTTTCACGTTCACCTCCGTTTCAAGAATGAGGTCCTGGGTTCCGCGCTTTGTCGACGTAGGGTTTCTCCCAACTTGCCTTGCTTCCGTCCTTTCTCGGAGCTTCTCCGCGAGAAAATGACATGATCCGCAGCCAGGAGCGTAGGGACACACTCTATACCTTTTTCGAATTTTTTTCCACAGCTGTATATAAGTACATTGCAGCTACCATACTTAGAAATTCTGGGGTGCAGGGTTGTCAGCCGTGCTGTCCGAGACATGCTTGCGCGGAGGTAAAAAGCGGCGACGTAGCCAAAAAATGTTCTTTGCTTAAAAACTTTATTTTTCGAAAAGCCAAAAATACCCGTTGATCTCCTCCGTCTTAGAGCGCCATTGCCCGCAGATAGCGCACCTTCGCGAATCCCCCACAAAGAGTGTTGGCTCGTAGTGTTCATCACGAACGTATTCAGACGAGAAGGTTGCAATGGCCAATAGTTCGAACGAGAGAGAAAGGCCTCTACAGTTGTTGAGACTGGTCACCAATCAATCTGTACCGGTTCAATGATCTTAAAACTTCAGGTCCCGCGCACGATGCGGTCGGACATGCAATGCAAATCAATGCATTTTCCAATCTGGTAGACCAGTTTTTCGAGGGCCATAACTACTTCACTTTACTATCGTAAGATAAAACGCAGAAACGGTTGCACCATAAACGCGGCACGGTAGAGCTCGCATTCCGCTAAGTCTTGATTGGTAACAGCTAGCATATGCATGTTCCAAATCATCCCCAAACCTTAACCTTTTCGCAGAAGTGTACATGGAAAACCCAAGTCGATCTCTTGCTCTTCCTTTTTCGGTTGTATGAAAGTCTGGTGCCTCTACCTCATGCGGAGCGAACACCATGTTGCGCTAGAATGATTATGCACTCTTTCCGCCTACGCTCCTGCGTTTCGTATGAAAATGATTTTGGACAATGTGCTTTACCGGGCATAATTCAGCACGATTTTGTACAGCGAGTAAAGTGCTTCGATGTCGTCGCCGATGCGTTTGGTGCGATGGATGCCGAAGGCTTCCTCATTGCCGTTGGTGAGGAACAGTGGCGCGCTTGTGCCTTGGAAGCTCGAATCCGCAAGGTCGTGTTGCTCTGTCTTCGCGAAAAGGTGCTCGAATCTGTCAATTTGAGCGACGTATTCCCGTGAAATAACATACCCCATCGAGATTCGGATCTTTTGCAAAAGTCCGCTGGCCAACTCGTTGACTTTTCCCGTAGGGCCGTCCATATCCTCTAGGTCCGTCTCGGCCGGTCGCTTGTTCGTGGTCGTGACTGCAACCGGGGGGTCGGCGCCACTAATGGCAACAGCACTATTGTTTTTCTTCCTTTGCTGGCCCTATCAAGTGCAAATATGTCTGAGTCTGGAAGAATGCAACTTGTGACGCTGCATTTGGATTCAAAAAATATCTGTATTGCATGAGCCTTTTTGCCCCTCGACCCATAGTCATCCCCTTCACGACCAATGCCTCGAGGCATGATGTCGGGAAGACTAGGCCAAGCTTCAGTGCGGGATTGGACCCGAGGTATTGCCTGGGCAGCAAAATGAGTCTAATTGTTGTTACGCGGAGGGGGCATTTGTCATGCGGGATAGGCATCAAGAAGCCTTCAAAAATCTGTGACGCCAGGGCATGCACCACACCCATCACGAGGGCTCATGCAAAACATGCGTGACAAGTCTCAGAGGAATCTTCCAGACCCAGACATATTTGCAATTGATAGGACTCGCTGCGCCAAGCTACCGCTACTCGAAATTGTCTTCTCATTTTTACCATTTTTTTTCTTCGTGCTATTCGTCCCGCTGGCCACCTGCTTAGAGTGCGTCGCCTTTGCGTTTCCGCGATGGGCTGCTCCGACGGCGGACCCGTGGGCAATGGCTGTTGTCTTGATGTATTTCTCCAAATGAAAAAAACCATGTTACACCCAGTCCTTCCCGCCCTTGCAGATCAGCACATGACCGTCTGCGGCGTTTGTTCGCAGTGTCAGAGATGTGTCATCTTGCGTTGTAACATCAAAAGATAAACCTGCGCAGGCGCTGCACAAACACCCATGCGCAGTGTCCGATGTAGCGTGATACAGAAACATTTTGGTTGTCATGCTGACCTCATCTTCTACTCGGCACGCACGCACAATACCTTCACCACTGTTCGACACGATGCCTGCTCGTCGATGGAAAATTGGATTTAGAGAACATGTCTTTGATTTGGATATCTTTTTGGCTGTGACGATTGCGCTCCTTGCTTGTTCGCTGGCCCCTGGGCCTTCGGGGTATTAACTCGCTGTCGCTTCGCTGCGGATTGCCCTGCCTGTAACCCCTTGTCCTGCGCAGAACCTTGCATTGTTGCCAATTGCCGCCAACTGATACGAAACCTGTCAGATGCAACGTAAATTCATGTGGCGCCACAGCGTTAAAAAGTAGGTGATAAATTCTGAACCACGCGTGAAAATCAAAATCATGCGCATATTATTTGGCATACTACTGGGAATCACTCCACAAATCAAAAGCATGCGCATACTCTCTCCCCTTGCTGGGAATCACTACTACTACTACTACGACTACATATTAATTTAAACACCTAGAACAAAAGTTGGAAAACGATACTCAGGGTAAATTATTTTACTGCTTGCAGTGCACTACATATAAACATAATACGGATTGTTCTTCGCCAGAAACGCAGCTGCGCCCTCGCGTGTCTGACATGCAACAAACCCTTCCCACAAAGGCTTGTCATTAACCAGCAGCTCGCGCGAGTCGGCTATCGCTACGAGATGTTCGAGGTGAGTGCGTAGCTCTTCAGGTTTCAGGCGCTGTTCCTGGTCTAGTCCTCGGACCGCATGTAACAATCTCTGCTGAAAGTTCATCGCCAGTGCCGAAGCTCCATCAGGTGCAGAGCGCACAACGCTTCGCAGAGCGGGTTCGACGTCGCCTTCGCTATTCTCCTCGTCGATGCTGCAATCCTCGCAATCCGAAAACATGCTGCCACCACACGCCATCTCGTCATGGCTTCCACTGATTAGTCCGCGGTCAATTTCATTGTCGCTGCGAGTCCATTTGAAGGCGTGTCCGTTGGCATTAAAGATCGACCTTTGCGGCTCATTTCCTGGAAAAATGGACCCGCTATTCTGCGCGGCCGAGCCGTGCAGCACTGCAGTGTTGTTACTGCTGGCGCCTGGAAATTGGGGTCGCGAAGACGACGCTGTGCCAATTTCTTCTGCACGAGATTCGGCTGGCGGCATTTTGTTGCAACTATCGCGAAGAATGGCCACTGATCCGTCGACCTTCTGCAGCCCCCTACAGTCCGTCGCGACACAGTAATAAAATCGAGAGACGGGCGGGCGCCGAATTCACGGCAAGAGCACGAATCGAAGCCATCTCATTTTTGCGAAGTTGAACCAGGTTTGCCCCTTGCGAGGACTGGAATCCAAAACGAAAAAAATAATTATCGCTATCTTGAACAGGTGTACTAAGTATACTGCATTTGCAAACTACCTATTATGCCCGAGAGTTCGCAATTGTCTCGAAGCCTATTTCAGTCCGGATAAGAGGAGCCAAGCCATAACATCTTAGCTGTCCGAAAAGCTGCTTGCATATCCTACTAGCGACTAAAATTGAAGTCGCACCATGAACAACGCCACGAGCCCAGGTGTATACGTTGCATTTCGTTTGCTATTCGTTCCGACTAACTATACGATGACGCGCATTCATATCTTTTGTGCGTACTTACTTTTGTTTTCCCGAAAACAGCCGACTGCTTACGAAAACGAACGATGTCTCGCACTGAGCGCCCTATTTCGCGAACCATGTCCACGCTCAAGCAGGAACAAGACGAGTGAAAAAAAAAACGAAACGGCGACCGGGACCTGTAGCGCCCAGAAATGCTATGTGCAACGCTTCCGGGCCCGAACTGCGCATATGCAATGTGGCAAGCTGCCCGCACTGCGCACTCCCGTCTCGGACCCGGCGCGCACGGCGAGAGCGGACCACGGCGCCCAGCGAAGTGTCACGAGCGCACGCAGGGCGAGCGGGCCGTTCGGTGGGCGCAGCACCCTGAGCTGCGTTCGGCGGGCCGTTCGGTGGGCCGCGCCGTGCACCTGGGGGCACATTCGGGATCGCCGACGAGCAAGTTAGAACGCCGCGCGCGCGGGCGCTGGCCGAGGCCCTCGGCACGCGCGGCCGCGCCCCCCGCGTCGCATCGAGCACCGTGGAGTTGGGCTGCAAAGGGCCGTCCCCGTAAAAGACCGCGCCCGCCGCAGGTGGAAGCCGGGAAGAACGGGGACGGGCGCGGCGTTTACATGCTGGCCCAATTCGCGGCGCCCGCGACCGGGCTGCCGGTCGTCCTGGCGGAGAGATGCTGGCGGCGCATCGCATCAGAAACGCGGGCAGCGTGGCCAGTGCCAAGCCTCCCCTCGCTCGCTTTTCCGGCGGTCGCAGCGGCGCTGCGCGCACGGCCGCGACACTGCGGGCGCCTGCCCAGAGCGCCGCTGGGGTGCGGGTTTGGGACACACTGCGGCCCGCCTTCTGGGGTGCCGGGTTTGGGATCCCTTCCGGAAGCCCGGGTCTTCCCTGATGCGGGTCGCGACCGCCGGCCCCGGTGCTGCTGCGCCTTCTGGGGTGCCGGGTTTGGGACCCCTTCCGGAA